CTTAGTAATAATGTTTGAAAAATGAAGTCCATTAAAAGAATTCCAGATAGGGCCTCCACGGTGGCGCAGCGGTTGAACGCTGTGTTGCGAAGCTGCCCGCAGCCTCTGCAGTGCCGGTTCGATCCCCAACCGCCAGGCGAGGGTCCCACATGGCGCGCAGACCTCTCCTGCCTCCCGCTGCTCCCCTCAGCAGTGTATTTCGTTAGTCTGCCTGTTCTGCTCGCCTCTCTGGCTCTGGTGAATTCTCTCACCCTCCCGCACTTCTGACTGTACCCAGTGCATGTATAAATAAATAAATCTTTTAAAAAAACATGTTATTAAAAAAAAAGAATTCTAGATAGAATTTTCAGATGGCCCTTCAATCCCCAAATGTTGGCAAGTTGCCCCCTGAATTTTTCCAGGGGACACTGGCTTTTAACTAAGGAGCTGCAGAGCAGGTGTGTTCTTGTGAGGAGCCTCCTAAGGCTTTCTAGAGGAGAAATGGTTTTATCCAGGCTCTCAGTATGTCTGGTCCTTAGGTTTGATTTACAGGGAGTTGATTTATCATCACTAACTCAGCCTCAACTGTCAGGGACCTGAAATTTGAAACCTTAAGAATCCCCCTTATTTTTTATGAGCTCAAAAGATCGCTGTACTGGAGCAGAGTCTGTCCTGTTGCTGAAGATAAGGGCTCCCTGCTGATATTGGTAGGTGGCTTTGTGTCCTTGGGGTTCTGTCCTTGTGTGTGGGTTCTGCTTCTTAAGAACTATTTCTTGCTGGGAAAAACAAACAAACAAAAAAAACCCTTTCTTTTCCTCCAGCAAGGACACCACCACCCACTGCCACCACACTGTCCTGGTAGAAGTCAAGGCTTCTCAGCAATGGTATAATGGGGCAGGGCAGGGCAGGGAGGGGTCTCTCAAGGTTTGAAGCAGTGATTGAGAATCCAAGACTGTAGAATGCAGCTTTTAGAATGCCTGGTTGAGGAAGTCTGGGGTTCACTTATCTTTGTGATTTTGTTTCTTTCACAAAAACCTTCCTATGTCTTTCCTCCCGGGGGAACCTTATGGTGGAGCCACGGTCAGTGCCTCTTACCACCGACGGCCACGAGGGGGCGCCCCGCGCTCTGCTTCCTTCGCCTTGCTCTCTGGCGCGAACCTGCTTTCTGGCCCCAGGGGGAGCTCGAGGGGCCCTCGATGCGGGCCCTTCCCTTTAGGCCTTTCAGAAAGGTTCACTGGGTGACTGTAGTGCACCCTTCCGACATACCGCCGCCCCTGCCTCTCCATTGCATGCGCCTCTTTATCCCTTATAACATCCAAAAGCAAGCCAAGACTCCAAAGTTACATTTCGTGGATTTCTGGAGAACAGAAAATTAAAAAAACAGACTTTTTTAATAGTCCAGAATTTCCAGTGACTACCCCAAATATCTCAATTTTTAAGCTTGAATCAATGATGAATTAATACTTTGAGAAAACCTGAGGGTCAGCCCCCTCCCCTGGTCGTGTGTGGTCTTGTTTGGGGTCTTTGAAGAAAGGGGTCTTTGAAGAAAAGTGTCCTCTCTGAGGTTTTCTGCTTTGCTTGATGATACCAAGGACAGCAATTCTGAAAGTGGGGAATTCCTTGGTGAGAGAGCTGTTTGACGTTCAGGGTGGGCACTATCATATGTGGCAGAACTCAAACAGAATTATTTTAATGACAACATTGCCTGAAGACCTTCTTATCAGTGGACCAGAAAGGGAAGGTGTCTCCCACCCTCTGCATGTAGGTGCTCTGGTGCCAGCTCCTGATTTAGAGAGAATGAGAAAGAGTGGGATGAGGGAGTTCTCGGGAAAGCCCAGATCTGGGCATCTTTGAGCTGTAAAGGAGAAGCTTTCAGAGTTTGTTGAGTCTAATTTGTTTTTTTTTTCACTGTTACTTAAGGGCCAAGCCAAGAATTCACAAGAGACTTGGGGAAGCTGCTTTGCCAAGTCCTGGTGTTGAAGTTAAGTGGCACAAGGCTGACCCTGGTTTGGGGAGCAGACTGCTGTCTTTGAGCTTTGGCACTAAGTAGAGTCCCTTTGCCTCCCTGGTGCTGGGTTTCCTCCTCTGTAACTGAGAGACAATGACCCGTTCACCTGCCAGGTTTTCTTCTCCACGTCAACAGCCAGGAAACTCAAGTCAAAATCAAAGGTTTTTTGAAGGAACTCTGCAGGATCCTTGGCTTTGTATCTTGATGCCGTTTTCCTCCTTTGTTTTGACCTTCTGTTTTTTTGACCTTCTGATCTCATTTTGTTATTTTTCATATTTGATATTTTGTCATGTACATCTAGTCCTTTGTGGACTAAGATGTAAATAAATGGTAAAGTGGAAGGTGCGTTACACCTGGAGAGTCCGGGGGCCTGACGGTGCTCTGATATTCTAAGGGGAAAACCATTTCACGGGTGTGGCAGGCATCAGGTTGACACGGAGTGGGTCCTCCTGTTGAGGCTCCTCAAAGCCTGTGAGGAAGCCTGACCAGGGTGCTGTCCTTGGTCATTGGGTGGTGTCTGAAGGAGCCAGTGCTTTGTGCTAGTTTATAGAAAGGCTTTTCTATTGTGGTTTTTAGATGTGTCCTGCACAAAATCTGGTGGAGAAATAACTGTTCTGAGATAGGGATCAGTTACCTACAGCATTTGTCAAGACCTCCAAGAAATTTTGATGTTACACTTGGATTTAGGAACGTCAGAGGGAATGTGTGTGTTATTTCAGGAGTGAGGCTGGCAGAAGATAGTGGATGCCATGTTCTTCTCACCCACATGCTCATCTTGACTTTTTATGTACCAAGCACCTTGGTGAGGCTGAAATTCCTTTATCAGAGTTTATAATGGATCCTATCTGTAAGGTCACATGTATTTAAAGACCTACTTCTACTTTGAGTGAGTGAAAAGCTTTAAAAAAAATAAATACTAAATAGGCATCAATTATCAGTGGTCATTCATTTCCAAAATATCTCATCCCTTTTGCCAAGGGACCCACCATGGAGTCCAGGAAACGTCTGCTGTGTTTTGACAAGGACGTCCCATGTCTGCCTGTGCTCTGTCAAGCAGAAGAACTTGCACAGATGTTGCAGAGTCAATCCTTCTCGATTTGGTTCTGATTTGTTCCAGGAAGGTTAACAACACACTGGAAATACATGTTTCAAAACCAGTGATGAAAGTAATTATTATCTATCCCTGAACATGAAGGTTGAGGCTTTCTGGGATCCATAAAAAAGGAACACCGGGCCTCCCCTGTGGCGCAGCGGTTGAGCGCTGGGTTGCGAAGCTGCCCGCAGCCTCTGCAGCACTTGTTTGATCCCGGCCGCCAGCGAGGGTCCCACATGGCGCGCAGACCTCTCCTTCCCGCCCGCTGCTCCCCTCAGCAGTGTACTTCAGTCCTTCTGCCTGCTCTGCTCCCCGCTCTGGCTCTGGTGAAGTCTCTCACCCTCCTGCGCTTCTGACTGTACCCAGTGCTTGTATAAATAAAAATAAATCTTAAAAAAAAAAAAAAAAAGGAACACCATGTTCCTTTCCCTGTAAGTCAGATCTTATTTATACAGGCCTGAAAAGAACTTCACTTTTAAGTTTTTATTGGCTGGCAGATCCTGCTGCTTTATTACCATCCTATTAGTTTCTTTGAGCAAAATGCTGCCATCTAACAGCATCTAACTAGCTTCCTGGACAGTCTAGGAGACTCCTTTATGCCACACCGGGAGATAATGTTAGAACCACCACTTGTTTTGTCCTATTGATCCTTGCTGTCAGGGTGGATTTGTTTTCTGTAGATGCAACTCGTGCAATGTCTTATCATGAGAACTCAGGCTTATTCATGCACGATCATGTCACTCCTCACCATAACCTCTGAAGCGGGCACAAACCACTCTCTTACAGATGAGAACATTGAAGCTTGGAGAAGGAGATAGGCAAGCTGCCCTAGGTTCCATGTTGAATCAAGGTAGATTCCTGTGTTGGACCAGGTCTGCTTGCTCTGGAGCTCACCTACTTATCTGTAACCCTAGATACCTCATAAGCCAGCTGGTCTGAGTATGAAGAAACAAGCCTGAGATGAGTGGATGGATGGATGGATGGATGAATTTAGATCAGGGATGTAGACCTATGGCAATAGGCAATTACCGAGTTGATAATGAATTATGTATATTAAAGCAAAACTTTGGCTTGATTTACCCAAGTAATTGGCACAATGCTTTTCTCTTTGGGAAGACTTGGCCCCTGCTCAGCACTTATGTTTCATAAAATTTCAGGTACAACTTTTTCTTTTACTGTCTTTGGCTCTCAGTCAGTTTTCTCTACAGTCTGTGTGCTTTCTTTACAGTCCATCTGTCTGGGTTGACTTGTCCTATTTGGAAATGAGAAATTTTACTATAATGAAAAAAAAAAAAGAATGTTGAGTGACCAACAAGTGTGAAGTTCTAAGAGCTCAACTTAAAAAAGAAAATATGAGAGAAAGACAGTAATAGTACTGTTTTAAAATAGAGCCCATGGAATAGCCTTAGTTTTGAATCAATTAAGAATTAGCGAGAAAGAGTAAGACATGTGGATGGCACAATAGCCCATTGATTACCCATATAGTGGATCCTGGAGAATGGCCTCAAGTGCAGCAAGTGGGGTACCCAATGTGCTCCTGGCCCTCCCAGTAAGGCCCCACTCCCCTTCCCAGGCAGGGGCTGAGCCCACTCACCCTGGGAAAGCTTAGCACTTGGAGGAGCCTTTCCACGCAAAGGGAGCGGGGCTGGGCTTCTGGCCTGGGTGATCCTTCTGATTCCCCAATCAGATGAGCCTCACCTTTCCCCCTTGTTGAAAGGAGGGAGGAGGCTGGGTGTGTCAGGATGGCCCTAAAGGAGGTGGAGGAAACCTCAGGAAAAGGGGCCTCACTCCCCTAAGGAACAGAAGGACAATCCAAGTCTTAACTCTCCTGCTTGGGGAATTAATTGGATGTTTGTACTGAGTGTAACTATGTCAGCAGCTAGGTCAATTAACTTGCTTTTGTTCTGTTTAAACTTTTAGATTCTTGGCTATCAGAACACCATTTTCTTTGGTGGAGACTGTGTGTCCATGATCGATTACCTCTTTTGGCCCTGGTTTGAGCGACTGGATGTATATGGAATAGCCGAGTAAGACATTTGGCCCTGTGGTCACTTCACACTTGTTGGTTACTGAGGTCTCACTGGGTGGTGATGGGGGCAATGCCCCGGGGGCCATTTAGTCCCCCTTGGGCATTTCTTATCATATAGGTGAAAAGAAATCAGGCTTTAATCTATGTGTTTCTTTGTTAAAAATGCCTCTGTGCTCTTTTACCACTAAGATCCTGTGTCCAAAAGCCTCCCTTAGTGCTTCAAAGCCGCCATCTTCACAGCACCCCCAGTGGTCTCCCTGTCCCCCCAAAGCTAATGACAGCTTCAGTCACAGCATTTTGGTGATCTGTCCCACCGTGGCCTTCCTCCTGCTCAGCCACATCTTAGTTCTCCAGGCAGGAATCTTTCCCCAGACAGGGATATACTTAAAAAACACCCATCATTTTAAAATTGATATCTGCTTGATGTTCAAACCAATACATGAAATGGCCAACTGTGTACCATAGAAGCGTAGGGATGTCTGAAGGAGAAGAAATTGTAGACTCAGGGAGACCATGTAGGGTCCCCGGACAGAACATGCGCTTTGTACCACGAGGCTTTGTACCCCAGCCAGGACAGAGGGTGCCGGGCAGGCCTGGGCCCTGCCCAGGCCCAGTTCCCCTCCTCGTGCACAAGTGTGGATCTTCTCAGAGCATCTCCTGTGCTTCCCCCGTCAGCTGTCGCGGAGGGAATGTCTGCTCTAACATGGACATGGTAAACTATGTCTCAACACAAACGTGACAACATCCTGTCTCCTCGGGGTTCCAGGCTGAACCCTCACCTCTGCTCCTGGACTTCCCTCTAGGCAGCTGTATGATCGCAAGCAAGTCACTTGACATATCCCAGACCTAGATTTCTTGGTGCATCTTTGCAAGGCAGTTAGCCCCGCTATTTCCAGGTTTGAGGTCAGTTTGACTCATTTTGGAAAAAGTGTTTTTGGAAATGGCTTGTCTTCTTATATAGTCAACCCTCCTAAAGTAAAATCTGAAAAGAAAAAAGAATGTCTCTTTCATGGGGGCGTGTCACTTTGCTAACAAGGAGGGCAGCACAGACCCCTGGCTTCCCCAGATGTGAACAGGCATTTGAGCTGTGTGGTTACCAGGGGCAGCAACACACAGCTTTCCCCAAATAACTGACCGCCAGCAAACGACCGTGTTCACGAGGCTGTAGGTTGACTGAGATGACTTTATTACCCAAATGAATGCAACTTTTCATATCTTGCCAATGGGAAGTGGGATAGGTGTTCCTTTCCAGCTGCCTCTCCTGCAGAGGCAGGTGCCTGACACTTCTCTCCTGTCCCACAGCTGTTTGAACAACACCCCCGCCCTCCGGATTTGGATAGCAGCCATGAAACAGGACCCTGCCGTGTGTGCACTTCTCATAGATAAGAACATTTTCCTGGGCTTCTTGAATCTCTATTTTCAGAACAACCCCGACGCCTTTGACTACGGGCTAAGCTGCTGAGCCTCAGGGGCCACCCTGTCACCATCCAGATTCCCAGCCCACCATCTGGATTCTGCATTAGGAATTGTGTTGGTGGATCAATCAATCTCTGTTCATTTTCTTTGAGGTTCCCAATAAACATAGAGGTAGAAAATATGTGATGATGATCCTTTGAGTGACTCCTCTGGCCCATGCCTTCCAGTTACTCTCTGGGGGCCTCTAGTGTCCAGTGCAAATGTGCCTGCACCCTGGGAGCCCGTGTGCCTGCCGGCTCCTCGGCCTCCTGCTTGTTCTGACCTCCAGGTTATCGGTGCTGATGCTGAGGTCCAAGTCATTACCTTTGCTGTGTCACGGCAGATCCACAGCCTCCTGAGTGAGAGGAAAGCCAGAGAAGCGAATGGAGAAGGAAACCCTCCCGGTCTGGCGCGCAGAGCTGTGTCCATGTGGGTGTGTGCGATGTCATTCTCTCTTGAACTTTGGCCGCAGGCCTGGGAGACACTGAAGGTCTGATGACTGAAGGAATTCCAAAGCAGGAAACGAAACACCGTTATCACCCCTGACTGATACGTCAGAATTTTGCTGGTGCTGTCAGGATTGAGGATGGTTCACAAAATGTTCTGCAGCCCACATCCTGCCTTAAAAATGCACACGCCTCAAGCTGAGTGCCAGGAGAGGTCACATTCTTTCAGTTCATCCAGCACACGCCTGCCGTACACCCAGCTGGGGCCACATGGGGAGTGCACAGCAGAGGTGACAAAGACACAGGCGCCCCTGTTCTCTCCACTCTCTGGGTTGAAGTTTTAAGCCTAGTGCTTTGGGGCTGCTCTTCTTACAGGGGGATGTCTGTCCTGGCACTTTGTGGCATCCCCAATGACTGGGCTGGCCCTGCACCCGCTGAGGCCCCCAGGAACCTAGAAGGACAGCCAGGTGTGGGGCAAGCTGGGAGCCTCTAGCACCTGCACCCCAGGAGTGGGACGGGCCCATCCAAAGCCACTTGAGCTGAGGGTCTAGGGCTCAGCCTACAATCATTTCTGCTTTCTTCACATGGAATCTGTTTCTTTGTTTAAACAACAGCCCCGTTTGCTTAGCCTGCCATGTTGGATCACTTGACTTTTCAGGCTGTGCAACTGAAGGCTTTGTATAGTCTCGTGATGAAGAGGCTAGGCCCAGGCATCATCTCCTAGGTCTAATCCGTAGCTGTGTGACCTTGGTCTACTCACTCAGACTCTGTGCTTGCCTTTGCATTGGTAAAGTGTACGGGTTAAAATAGTACCTATTGAACAGGGTGAAGTTAGGATGATCATATGACCTCGTTTATATGTTTTTTCCTGGATAATTATTACTTTACTTGCAGTTGGTCTTAGTTTGAATGATTAGTTATACTTCTGTGTCTTAAGTGCTCACTGAGCGTTCGCTGCTTTGTCAGGAGCTTCCACTTTCTGTTCTACTGTCTCTACTTAAGCTCATTTCCTGAGGCCTTTTTTTTTACCCCTTCAGCTGCCATCCAGAGGGTGATTTAATCGTCTGAACACTTTTTAATGAAGTTCCTTGCACCTGGAACCTTCTCTCCTTCTCCTCCAAATCCTGTTCATGGTTTATGAGCCAGCTCAAGCACCACCTGAGTGATTGACTCATGAAATATTTCGTTTCTCAAATAAAAGCAAGGGCAGTAAGTTAGGACCTGCAAATACAACAGGCAGACACCGTCAAGGGTCATTCCCGGGGGAGCTTCCAGTCTGGAGGCAGAGGTAACTGGTCGAGGATCACACGGATCGATGTGAACTGACAATTGCGGAAGTGCTGAGAAGGGAGTTAACCTGTTTTTGGATTGGCGGGGGCATCTTGAGGAATTGCTGTTGAGCTGTGAAGGAGGAGTGGAGGAGACCTAGGTCAGAGAGGAGAGGCTCCCAGCCCAAAGGAGGGACACGGGTGCTCCTGGGAGAGAGGCGGCGGCTGTGCTCCAGCAGCTGAGGGAAGGCGAGGCAGCCCCCAGGGCTGGAGGCAGGTGTGAGTGGAGGGAGGCCAGATGGGTAAATAAAGGTGTAGATCATGCTTGGGATTCGGCTTTTTCTTGACTACTGGTGGGAAGCCAGCGAGTCCTTTATAGAGAGGGTCGACAGCCTCGCATCAGCCTGTTGAAAGGCGCACTGACTTCCGTGCAGCGATTTGATGAGAAGCCAATCGCACGTCTGGGAAAACCTCCAGTCTGGTCATACACCATCCTCCCCCAGCTCCAGGCTTGCCAAGAGGCCAGGCAGCGGCGGGGGGGGATGTTCTGACTTGTCCGTGCCCACAGAGGAGCTGTCTGCTGCCCCTGCCTCTGACTCAGCCTGAACCAGCCTCCTTCCTCTCCAGGCTCAGCCTGGTCCAGCCATCTGCCGCCTCTGGGTGGATTTTGACTCTTGTAAATAGTTACCAGTGTGATTCCGTGCCAGCTGGACAGAAGCGAGCCTGCTTGGTACGCCGGCCCGGCTGGCCAGATTAGGCGCCGCGTGATGGGGACAGTCTGCTGTGCCATCTGCTCAGGATGGGGCGCTCCGTTGCCAGGGCGTCCCAGCCCGTGCAACCAGGTCTGAGTCACGTTTCCGCGAGATCTTTCCTTGCCTCTCTGGCCTCTCCTGGGACTCGGGGACTGATCATTCTATTCTTTCCAGGGTGTGCCTGGGAGTGGTCCATGGGCCAAAATTGCTGCTGATGCAGCAGATAAGGGCAAGACGTTCTCTTTGGGGGCTCCACGTGCTCATTTAGAAAGCCTGAAGACTCAGAAAGTTTTAAGTTTGAAGGCTGGAGAAGGTTGCTGGCCAGTGGCCCGCAGCCCAGCCTGGCTCCTGAATGTCTTTCCAGGTGCGCTCCCTGAGGTTTGCCAGGGTCCCCTGCACCGCCCTCTTCTTCCTCCTCACCCTCACGTCACTCATCTGACCTACAGAGGAATCTGACTTGTCAACCTCTGGGTGAAACCAGAAGGATTTAATCTGGAGAAAAGATGCGATTAAATAATGCTGCATGAGGAACTTCTGAAATGCCACTTCTTTTACCGGGTACATGTGTGTTGGGGAGGTGGGGAGGGGAGGGCAGAAATTCTACACCGGGGTTAAAAACAACAATTTAAAAAAGCGGGGCTCCTGTCATCTGGTGTCCCAGGGCTGAGCACTTTCAGCTGCTGGTGCAGATCTTGTACAAGCGCGTTAAGCTTAAGGATTTAAGAGGAATGCTGCGTTCTGCGTCCTGCCCAGCTCAGCAGTACCTTCCTCAGTTCGCATTTACTCATGTGACTTTATCGCTTTTATCTCTGCCCCTGGAGTAGAAGCTCCCCCAGGGATGACCCTTCACGGCTTCGCCTGTTGTCTTTGCAGGTCCTAACTCACTGCCTTTTGGAACAAGGTGTCCTTGTTTGGATTGGCAGGGGCATCTTGAGGCGTTGCTCGCAGCTGACTGGCACTTTGGAGTTGCTTTCTGGTGGTGTCAGGTGTGCAGATTTAGTCTCAAAGGACCTGTGGGCCTTGGCATCTGGGATTTCCATTCCTTCCTAGTCCCCATTCCTCATACCCCAAGCCTAGGTTAATACCATGAATCCTAAAATCTTGCCATGTGAATGCCAATGATGAGAATCCTAAAACAGGGCAAGATTTAGAAATCGCAATGATGGGAAAGAGAACAGCCTCTCCCATGTTGTGGAGAAGTACTGAGAATCTCTGTCCTCTGGCCCCTGAGCATGTTTTCTCCTTTGGGTGTGAAAGGGGTGAAGGGTTTGAAATGCCGGTGGGCCTGTCCCGCTACCAGCCTGGTGGATGCTGAGCAGAACACAAAAGTGCCCGGGGCGTGCTGCTCATGGACTGAGTGTTCACACAAGCTCCGGGCAAACGTGGAACACTTGGCCTTGCCATTTCCTCCCAAGGACCCACAAACACTGAGAATTCTCTTGCAAACAGCAAGGCTCCGCAGCCCACTCTGTCAGTGTAGAAGCCTCCCTGGCTGGACAGCAGGCCAGTCGGCCGCTGGAGGAGCCAGCAGGAAAGAGCCATCTGAGTTCGGTCCAGGCAGAGGACAAGGCCACTGGGCTCTGGCTATGCTGCCCACCGAGGGGAGCCCAAGCAGGAACTGTCTCTGCTGCATCACAGGCCCAGGGGCAAGGAGGGGCGGGGGTGGATATCTGTGAGCAGGAGCCGCCTTTACGAAATCTGAGTCCATGTGCCAAAACCATGGAATAATTGTTGTAGTCAGGGGCCTAGAAAATCTCTCAAAGCCTCTGTGTGTGTGCGTGAGTGTGTGCGTGTGTGTGTGCGTGTGTGTGCGTGTGTGTGCGTGTGTGTCTACATGCTCTGTGTATTTCTACCATGGTAGGATGGTATCGGGATGAACAATGAGGAACTCTGAAAATGGGCAGGAGGTATTTTTGAAATTCCATGTTAAATACATGGGTACTGGCCATTCATGTGCCAAACAGAAAGGCCCCCTTTGGGTACTTTTTCTGGACACTATCGTGATAGCAGGGTTGTGTGGGGGGCACGTACAGACAGCCATTTGCCATAATAGCAGGAGCTGCTTAGCCTGGGAGCCTGGGGAAGAATAGTGAGAGATCTGCAGGAAACCCTAGCCTAAACCCTCTGGAGAGTGAGACCAGAGATAAAACTGCCTCACCAAGTACTACACGTCAGGGACTTTCCAAATACAAGTCATTCCTCACAATTGATTATTCCCATTTTACCGATGGGTAAACGGCTTCCCCATATTGCTGTCTGTAGAGGCACCTGTCTCTCCCAAGACAGGGATGTCCTGCCTGGTCCCCATTCTGGCTAGTGTTGCTAAGGCAACTGCTGGAGGAGGCCCAGCAAAGGGGCGAGGAGAGCAGAGAGCCATTGGGCTCAGGCCAGAGGTCTTTCCCTGCCCCATCAATTGCAGCCAGTCCCCAGCCCCTTCCGTCGGGTCCTCAGCATTTCCTGAGCATGCCCTTTGCCCCATGGTAGGCGTGTGGGGAAGGTTTCCCGTGGGTCCCCAGGGAAGACTGACTCATGGTTGAGTGGTGGGAGGTACCCGGGGGAGAGCCTCTTCTCTGGCAGGTGAGCCGTGAGTAGGGTGCAAACCACTGCCAGTTTTGTTCTTGTTGAGTTTATTATTTGCCAAGTCTTAAGCCAAGTGTTTCACAGGCGCCCTTTTTGCTCAGTCTCCTCAATGGCTCTATGAGGTGGACATGATTCCCATTTTACAGAAGAAACAGGCTAAACCAGGCTCAGAGAAATGGGACTTGGTGAGTGAGGGTGTGACATAGTTGGATTTGATCAGAGGACCCAAGTGCTTCGCCCCTGGCCATTCGTATTGTGTGGCATCTCAGACCCATTAGACTTTGCACGGCTTTGTCACAGCTGGCAGGGACCCTTGTGGGCAGAACTTCCCATGTGGGCCTCCATTTCCAGTAGGAACATAGGCAAAGGCAGGGGTCCACTGTCTACCCCTCCTTGTTTCTCTTGAACACTCAGGCTGAGCAACCTTGCTGCCTGAAGTCTGGTCTTGCTCCTGGTGGGTGGAGTTCTTCCCTGCCCAGCCCCACTATGAAATGTTGCAAGGAGCAAACAAAAGGGTGGAGAGGGCTTCTTAGAAACCAAGGAGAGCTGAAAAATCAAGGACAACCTCCTTGGCCCCATATCTGAGTCTACTTAAGGCTTCTGCTGTCATCTCAGTGGGTCCTAAGGTAGGGGTATGCCTGAGCTGACTCATTGTCCTTGGCTGGAGACTTGGGGTTCACCTGCAGCTTTTACTCCTGGGGTACTGATGCAGCACTAGCCATGCTTCTTAGAAGAGACCCAAGGCCACTGTCAGTCATTGGGTGTCCGGCCACTGTCCCAAGAGAGCTTGGGTCTAATGTAGTACAGTAGTACAGTCCACTCTCCAGGATCAGGTGGGGGTGTGGCTTTGTCATCCTGGCCAGTGGGGAAGACAGCCAGAGGTGGCTTGTGAGAAGTGAATCTATTTAAAATTAAGTTGCCCTAAGAGAAACCTACAATATCAAGCAGATGGGGCCAGATTCTCCCCAACTTCTGCCCCCCCATCCTGCCAATCCCACCTTACTCTTGTGAGACCTGCCTTTCCCGGTCAAGAAGTCTCTGACCACCTCTGAGGCTTTTGTGGTTTCATCTTGCTGGGAGATAATTTGCTGTTGTCAGTTTTGTTTTCTGGTTTATTTATGGGGATCTAGAGGAACAGAGAAGGTAGAAAAAGACACTTTTACCTATAAAACAGGGACCCCCACATTGTGCAGGAAGAAATAATCCACCCCTGGGCTCAGATGAACAAAACACAAGTGTTTGGGGATAGACAACAATGAACAGTTGTGTTGATAGGATTTTCTTGAGGCGTGTCACATTTCCCCATGTGTACAGGAGCCAGAACTTTCACAGCTCAAACCCCAACTGATCAGGTTCTCCCAGTGCCCTCACCCCATGTGGGCCACAGAGCTACAAGGCTTCACTTTCACTTACCCATCCTTCATTATTCTGATTATTTTGTGGCCCTAGTTCTTGTCTTCCTAATAGACCTACTTGTTTGGGACAAAGCCCTGGACTGATTCTGGTTTCCCACCTAACGCCTGGCTCAGAGTGGAACACATGCTGCTCAAATGCCTTTTCCTCCCTCTGAAGTCATGAACATTGAATAAATCTTTATGGAAAGATGATTAGTGGTGAATCCCCCTATAGCATGGCGTACGGAATATTGGGATGGCCAGAGAGGGTCATTTCACAGCAGGTCTTACGCAGAGATGTTCGCTATAGTATTGTTTATAATGGCGAAGACAAGAGAGGCTTCAATATTTGGGGCTTGGGGTTGGGATTGGGTAGTTAGGGCTATCCACATATATGGTGAGATTAGTAAGCAGCTATTTGGAAGAATAGTGTAGAACAAAGTGTTCAAGAGACCTATCCACACACGTGGCGTGTGCACAGAAAGCATTTGGGAAGGATGCACAAGAAAAGCCATATTGCTGAGCGCTGGGGAATGGACTGAGAAGTCGTGAGTGGGAGTTTTTATGTTACTTTTCTGTCACTTGGATTTTTTTACCATGACTGTATTGTGTGTATATATATAAACTAGTTAGAAAAACAAGCTATCTTAGGAAGGCAATGAGAAAAGTTAGCTCTCCAAGATGCCTTTGCAGGGTGGAGGGGGCTGAGGGTGAAGTGGGCGGAAGGTGGTGAGGCGAAGGCGTACATTTCCTGCACTGTGTGCTTCTTGGCTCCCTGCTCAGGGCCCGTGGGCCAAACCAAACAACCCTCCAGTCCCACAAGGTGGATCGGCCGGAGCCTGAGAACATTCTGAACCAGTCTTCAGAGTGACTTGAGTTAGGACTTTTTGGACATTCACAGACTGCTCGGAACCCCGGTGACAGCCCCATGGCCGCGGAGAGCACTGATCACATCTTTAGGACTTCAGAGTTTGGGGCCAATCAAGTCACTGACTCACTCAGAAATCACCAATGGCTCACCACTGCTTACTGCAGGAAGTCCAAATTTACCTTAGCTTAGAGGTCAAGGCATTGAACCCTGTGTGGTTAGCTCCACTCAACACTTCCCGTCTCGCTGGCTTCCATGTCTCAGTGTTGATCAGCATAGAGACCAGCACTGCCTGGGTTGCAATCCTGGCTTTGCTACTTACTAACCTGTGTCCCTGGACAAGTCACTTACTGGTTCTGTGCTTCAGTTTCATCTTGACAGTGGGAGGATATGACATCACCTGTATCACAGGGGCGGCATGGGAATTGAGGGCATCAGTCTATGTAAAGGTATGTAGAAGGGTGCCTGGCACACAGTAGGAGCTACTAAAATGTTGTGCACTTCTATTACGCTCACCCACTTTCAGAAGTTGTCAGGCAGCACCCTACCCTAATCTCTGAGTACCAGTGGTTCTCAGACTTTTAGAATCCCCTGGTAAAATGCAGATTCCTCTGCCAGACTCCTAGCAATTATACTGAAGTCTGCAGTGTGGCCCAGAAACCTGGTGATACCCCTACCTGCAGTGTAAGGCCACACCTGGAGAAGCAGAGCCTAACAGGCCTTTGACCCCACCAGAGTGCTTCCATCTTTCCCGTGGCCCTTTTCACAGGTGAACACCGCCAGACAGGGCACAGGCTGGTCCTCTTGGCTTTCCTACATGTGGGGCTCCCGATAAACGGTGCAGGCGTGAATGATCGGCTGGAGAATGCTCACCAGCGTTTGTCTCCCCCGTCCTCTCCCTGCTCACCTCACTAGTGTGGCTGCGCTGACAGGAAGCCTGTGGTGTAGCTGATGCCACGTGGGCCCAAGCAGGCTCCTTGGCCTCTCCTAGGTCTGTCTTCCAATAGCTCTGTAGGCAAGCAGGGCTTTCTTTAGTTTCCTTAAGGAAAGGAAGTGAAAAGCCATCCTGAACTTGGGGTGTCATCTCTCACTTGAGGGAGCTTTAAAAACAGAGCTTCCCGTGGGTACCATGTGGCTTCAAGGCAGGGTCTTGGCATTTGACCAAACTCTTCAGAGGATTCTGATGACCGCCCTGATTACAAGCCCAATGTGCTGCTGCTGTGTCCTTAAGGCGGAGGGAGGTGCCTGTGGCTTTTGTGAGTGCAGGGCCCTCCCTAACCTAAACCACCTGTGGGTGTTGGGCCTAGCACCCTCGGGAAGGGAAAGAGGTTCTTGGAGAACAGGGCTGGGTGGTCTTTAGTGCACAGACCACCTCTTTCCTGGAAAGCCAAACCCTCCCTTTCCCAGCGCCACGCCTCACTGCACACAGCAGGCTCTGTCCTGGAATCCGCCCGACAGCTGGCCTTCAAAGGCCCTTTCTAGAACTCCGCTGCCTCATAGATGGGCTAGAAATGTTCTATTTTGTTATTTTAAGTTTCCTGAAAATGTCAGAATAAAAAGGGAGAGCCTCTGCTCCTCAACAGGAAACCCATCCTCCCACCCCGGCTCTGCCCTGGGAATCTCACAGAGTTCCTGAAGTTACAAACAAACACGTGACCAGTTTCCACTCCTTGCAAGATTTAATTCTTCCTTTCATATAAATAAGGCAGCATGAAACAAAAGCCCCGCCTCTTTCTCTTCAAAAGCAACCTTGGTGCATACAAGTTCCCCTTGCCCACGCTGAGTTGTCTTCTCGGAATAAACAAGAGGCCAGGAGGTATTTTTCCAGTAAACTTTCTCTTGGAAGCTACGGAGAAGCTCCCCGGAGGGAGATCCAGGCTTGGTCTTGGCTTCCTAAGGCTGGTTCTAGGCTGCTGGGGTGTCTTCAGAGCACAACAAAATCAGGGGGAAGGGGGGAAGGGAAAAGCAGAGGTGATAATAAATAAGGACTTCCACCCCATTCTGGTAATGAAACTGACAAGGATGGCGGGCATGGATCTAGGTGAGACGCCACGCAGGCAAGTTCACTCCCTGGAGTGCAGGGGGGGCTGCTGAGGGGCCAGAGAGAGGGGCCGCCCCAAGGTTGCCGCTCAAACTCCAGCTCCCACAGGAAGGCTTTCTTGGCTTCAAGGTCCCATCACGGCCAAGTCTGTGAGGCAAACCATCCTTCTTCTCGGGCTTTCTAGGTCTAGGTGAGAGCTCTCCTGGACCAAGGGCAGGGTCCCTGCCTCCGTTCCGGGGAGCCTGAGAGCCCGTGGAATGGGGACTGGGGTCCAGAGGCACGGCCTGCTGAAACCCTGGAGAGAGCGAGGTGGGTGCGGGGGTCCTCACCTGCCTCCTCCTGGGTCCTCTGCAAGGGTTCCTGAGGCAGTGCCAGGAGGAAATCCCAAAGTGAAGCCACAGTGGAGAGGCAGGTTTCCTGAACCTGGAGAGAGTTACCAGCTCTGAGCCAGCAGAGCCGAGGGGCCTGGAGGCTGCTGGGTGTTCCCAGTCAGCTGGGCCTGTTAGGATCTTCAGGTCTTTATCTGTGTGATCGGCAAGGCCCATCCAGAAAGGGAGCAGTGAGGGGGGCCCTAACGGGGCCACAGGGTCTGCACTGGGGAGCTGGGTGTCCATAGCAGCTCTTGCTTTCAGGCAGACCCTGGTCTGGGATCGGCATCCTCAGGAAAACTCAGGGCAACGGCGAGTTGCACCCAGCGCTGCAACTTTGAACTGGGTATCAGCGGCCAGGCCAGACTATGAGCCATACCCCAGCAACCCAGGTACCAGGCTCCGTTGTTTGCCTGGAGCACTCAGAGTCTCTCTCTAGGTCCGCTTCTACCTTCTGCATAGGCCCTCTCCATACCTACCACACTGTGGTCAGGGAGACCAGCTGCGGAGAGAGTAAAGAGGGGTGAGGGGCTGAGCTTGTACCGAGCACGGGAGGAGGGCCCAGCGTGTCCGGGAAACACGCTGAGGGAAGGGGCAGGGGAGAGCAGGTGAACCCTGAGTGAAACGCATAGTTGAAAAAGCGGCAACGTAGACGTCTTGCTGACACCAAGTACCCACTTCTGTGCAACACAGGCCATCGCCTCTTGGGGCCTTGACTCGGGGGCTTTTCTCCAATGTATAAAAAATGGCAGCTCCAGGGAGAGCCCCAGTGTGCAGGCTGGGGGAGGGGGTGGCTGCAAGCTCCCACGTCTGTCCCTTTTCGTGCTCAGCTGCAGATGCCCGGGGCCAAGAGTGAATGTCTGGAAATAAAGGGTGCAGGGTCTTCACGCGGTCCCCGTCCGGATTCCTGCAGACCCTCCGTTGGTATTCAAGTCAAGCCTGGGCTGGGGATGTAGAGGATGTCCAAATCAACATTTACATGGTCTCCACTCAGTGTCCATAGAAGGTTCTGCATCACCCTGACCGTTTGTGGTGACCCAAAAGTAAGCTGCAAGGGGTCAGCCCCGAGCCCAGACAATAGCGTCACCAGCAGCCCCGGCAGCATGAAGGCCAGGCAGCTTCCAGCCGGGAGCGCTGCCTGCCCGGCACTGGCTTCCCTCTGGGCTGAGCCCTGGCTCTCAACAAAGCCCGCGTTGTCCCCCAGGACAGAGCTGCCGGTGCCCTTGGGGTGGGACATGCGGGTGCCTCGTCCCGGCCCTCTTGGCCTGGCTGCTCTAAGACGCGACGGCTTTCGGGGGCAGGCCGGTGTGGTCGGAAGGGACATGCAGGGAATACTCGCTGATGAGTGCTGGGGCATTCCTGAGCATCTCATAGAAGGAGTCGACTGTCTTCCGGTAGAGACTTCGCTGTAGGACAAAGGGCCGGAAGAGGTTGAGCGGCTCGGCCCTGCACACGGCCTCGGGGACCCCCAAGGCCTCGGGTAACTTGGGGTTGCCTATGAAAAAGTGATGGAGCTTCTTCTCTAGCAAGCTCTTCTCCAAGAAGCAGAGCAGGTCGTGCAGGCGGGCACCCAGCTGCCCGGCCTTCCAGTCGGCATCCCGCCGGGCCATCAGGAGGTGCAGCAGGATGGTCTTCAGGTGGTAGTTGCTGAGCGCGCTGGGGCCGGTCAGCCGGCTCTGCTTGGAGAGCAGGAAGGAGGCGATCTGTAGGCAGCTGAGGTGGCAGGCACCCTCGGGCAGTGCCTTGGATACCATCCTGAGGAAGAATCGCTCGTAGACGGCGAAGGAGAGGAGCCAGTCAGTGCTGGACACGGGGCTGCCCCCAGAGGGCTCCCTGGAGAGATGGGAGACAAAGTACATGTTTGAGTCGTCGCACTGGATCACAGGGATCAGGTTGAAAGGCATGAACTTCCCAGAGCGGAACTTTATCCTGAGGGATCCTGGGGTGTCCAGCTGGCCAAAGGCCAGGTCGAACTCGTACTTGTGGGCAATGCGGTGCCAGGCCCTGGTGAGGGCTGTCTGGAACCACTTCATGACCTGCATCGTGTCCAGGTATGAGGAATCTCGGGCACACAGCATGGACCCTGCCTCGGTGCCAGGCCGCCCCAAACTGTTCTTGCCGTGGAGGAGGCACAGCATGTCCTCCCCAAGCTTGGTTTTGCCACAAATACAGCCCAGCATATCCTCCTCGGCCCCGACCACCTTGATCTGGCCGTAGCCCTGGTGATCCAAGGGCACCGAGTGGGCAGAGCACCAGAGCTCTGGGTGGAAGTGGTAGGGCTCCGGGGGCGTGAAGGGCACAAAGAGGTGACACAGCAGCGGCTTGTCCACATGCCAGTTCTCGTACATGCTGTCCACGCCAATGAAGTCCTCCACCTCCATATCTGTGTCCCGGTTGCAAAGGCTCCTCAGGGCTTCCAGCAAGTCATCCACGAAGCCCTCCACGAACTCCCGCGTGCGGGCAGCATCAGCTGTGGCCCCTCGGATGCAGCGCTCATAAAAGTGGCCAAGTGTGGCCTTGTTGGGCAGGGTGAGGCCCCGGAGTGGGGCCCCCTCCAGGCCAGGCAGCTCGTCCTCGATCCCACCCAGGCACTCGGGCGAGGGCCCGTCCTGGTGGTCCTGTCTCCACACCTCGATCACCAGGAAGAGGATCATGCAGAGGGTGCTCCAGAGGTCCCAGGCCGCACGGTTCTCGTTCTGCTGCTGGCCCTCTTCTGCCACCTGCTCCACTGCCTCCTTCTCCGTCACCAGCCGCGCCACTTCCTCCTCCAGGCGCAGCTGCTCCAGCTGCAGCTTCTCCTGGTGTTCCCGCATCTTTCGGATGATCTCCTCCTCGTTCTCTGGGACCGTGGCGTTCTCCCTCGGGAACAGCAGTGGGTGGTTGATGATGGCGGTCACCACCACCAGGCATACCCGGAAGAGCTCCAGGGCCATGGCTGGAGTGTCCCTGGGAACACAAAGTGGGATGGTCAGACTGGCCTTCTGCAGCGCCACTTCTTCCCTGGACCTTTGCACCAGCCCCTGCCCCACTGAACTGGAGAATGTCTTAGTGTCCTTCTCCCACCCAACCCACAGTCTCCTCCCAAGTCTCAGTGTCGCAGCGGGAAAAAGAACCACAATGGTCCCCATCGGCGATGCTGGCTCAACAACCAACCATGGGGGGCCTCTTCCCAGACATTCTTCCTTCTGGCATCAGCACCCCACTTTTCTTGGGGACCCAACCCTTTTCTGTTTTCATTCCTTATGTGCTGGGTGACCCATATGGCCAGGCCCGAGGTGACTGGACTATTTATTCCATGGCCCCTCTGGCACTGTGACTGGTTCAAGGATGAGCATAAGCCCATTAGGGCCAATGAGAAGAAGAATTTGTTCTGACCAATGAAAGAAAGGCTCACCCTGTTGCCTAGGCAACAGGATTATACCTGCAGTGCAGGTGGCTCTCAGCTTACCTGAAAGGAGAGATTGCCTGGGAGAGACGCTAATATAGAGGATGGCAGACCCCCTCCCCCCAGCCACCTCCAGGTATGCTTGGACTCTGGGGAACCAATTAATACCCCTAAAAGTTTCAACTGGTTTCCCATTACCTGAAACCAAAATAGTCCTGAATCAGACATCCCCTTCTCTCTTTTTGGCAAGTGTGTCTTTCCTCAAGGCAGTAAAGCCTAGTGGTTAAGAACAAGAGGGCTGGTTTCCAAAGCCAGTCCTGTCATTGAGTGGTTGTGTAGCCTTGGGTGTGTCAGCTCACTTCTCTGAGGCAGTTTCCTTGTTGTACAAGAGGAAAGCTATCGCACAGCAACTTCCTGTACCTCTCCTGATCTGGAAGGCCCTACCCCAAATTCAGACACCAATCCCCTGGCCTTCTCCTGGGTGCCCTCCACCCCGCCCCTGACAATCTCGGAGACCGCCAGAGTCACTGGGTCACTGGTTTTCCTCTCATGAGGCATCTGAACTTTACATCCAACTTCTTTTTTTTTTTTAAAGATTTATTTATTTATGCATACAAGAACTGGGGTGTAGGCGCAGGGGTGCGGGGGGTGAGAAGATTCACAGGGACAGAGTGCGGAGCAGAACAGGCAGACCGACTGAAATACACTGCTGAGGGGAGCAGCAGGTGAGGCAGGAGAGGTCTGCTGCGCCATGTGGGTAGCTCCCTGGCCTGGAATCAAACTCACACCACAGTGGCTGGTATGGTCTGATAGCACCAAGACTTAACCCCTGTGCCACCAGAGAGGCCCTATATTCCTCCAGGAAAAAATGGATTTTTAGAACTTTGGGGGAAGGGCTAGTACCTTACAATCCCTGCCACTCAACTCCCAGCAGCTATGACAGAATTGTTAGAAATGCAGAATATCAGCCCCACCCTATGCACCTGAACTGGCATTTTTCTTGCTCTCTACATTAAAGCCTGAGCAGCACTGTCTTGTTCGGAAGCCTTGCATTACACCCTCTGTTCTCCCTAGCAGGAACCTTGGGAATGAACCATCTGCCTTTTCCACTTTCCAGTCCCGTACCTGCTGTGACCTCAGTGAGAAGAGCAAATGACCAACAAAGAGAACCCAAAGAGCTCCTCCCCCACCCTCGGGTACATGCCAACACAAGCTGGTAGAAGCTTCTGGGTCTGGTCTGACCCCTTTCTTTTTTTTTTTTTTTTAAAGATTATTTATTTATGCAAGAACCAGGGCACAGGCCAGATGTGTGGGAGGGTGAGAGGATTCACCAGAGACAGAGCGGGGAACAGAACAGGCAGACTGACGAAATACACTGCTGAGGGGAGCAGCAGGTGAGACAGGAGAGGTCTGCTATGCCATATGGGATTCTTGCCGGCCAGCCGCGATCGAACCAGTGTTGCAGAGGCTGCGGACAGCTTCACAGCACGGCACTCAACCGCCTGTGCCACCAGGGTGGCCCCTGAACCCCTTTCTTGAACTTGGATTTATACCCTGAAAACCACCCATTCTGGTTCTTAACCTAATGGTGCCAAGGAGTGGGAATCTATCACCAGGGAAGGACACCTGTGGCGGTTCTACCTGGCAGTGCCAGCTGACCTGAGTTGCCAGGCTTGGGCAAAGCCTCTCAGATGTGACTCCACCCTGCCACAGCTGCAGGTGTCAGCAAGAACCAAAAGGGTCTGGGGCAGGGGCAGCAGCAATCAGAGCAGACTTCAGTGTATAGACAACTTCAGGCCTCCAGGGTGAGCGCTGTAGCACCCACGTGCCTTCTCCTGAGGAGGAAATGGAGGGCAGGAGAAAGTGGAGGAAGTCAGACTGCAAGGTGGGTGGGGTGAGGAACAGCTGCGGGGGTGGGGGGTATCTAGCCAGCTTTTCTTCCCCAAGACAAGGAGCAGCTTGCTAGATAATTGCAGAAACAGGTCAGTCCCGGTTTCTCCATTAGAGCAACATCAATGGAAAATTTTGCCGGGATGGTCCAAGGCAGAAGTGTGAGGTTGGCTGATTAACGTGAATCGTTGTTTTAAGATAAGGCGTGGGGCACTAATAGCAGCATACCAGGCTGCTGCCAGTTTGGAAATAATTTGGGGGTTTGGAGGGCCTTCTGGGCCCCTTTATGATAAGCAGCCACCTTCAGGCAGGTCCTGACAGGTCACAGCAATAACTTAACAACTCCCAACCCCGGAGGTCAGTTTCCAAGCCAACTCATGCAGATCCCACCAGCTGGGGAGTGACGCCCCACAGTCTTATGACTGGGCGGGACTGGGAAACCCTCCTCCACTCCACTGACAGCTGCCACGGTGCGGCCTGTGTGCGTCCTCCTGCCCGCTGAGGGCGCAGGACTGGGAGCGCCACTCTGTGCCGGGACAGCAAGGTTCAAAACCGGAGTGATGGGCTCTGCAGGTCACGCGCTGGGCTAGGGACCACCACGGGCACCTACTGCCGTCAATTTGCTAATTCCTCAGAACCTCAGTCTCTTCATCTGTAAACTGGAAATCACAATGCTTGCTGTTGTAAAACTTGAGCAAGATAATGCATCGAGAAGCACTTAGCAAAGTGCTTGCCCTTGAGCAAGTTTTCTTCCAAAAAGGGTAGCTGGGTTGGGACCAGCAGGTAGACATGCTTGCAGGTGTCTGTGATGGGGTGGGCCAGGCCGATGCTCCCATACAGTACTCTGGGGGGAGTACACCCCCCACGCCACCCTGGTGTATTCCCGGCCAGCCACACTGGCACTGACAATATGGTCACAAACCAGCTGGCAGAGGGGTGCCAGGGAGACAGTCTGGCAGGGTGGCAGGAGCCCAGGCTGCAGACCCCACAGGCCTGGATTTGAATCTTGCCTTCTGCTGGGGGGTTTCGGGTAACGGGGCTCCACCCTGACGGGGAGCTAAGAACACGTCCTTCTTAAAGGGAGGTTAAGAGAAAGAATGCCTGGCACAGAGACCTTACGGCACCAGCGCTTTCCCCCCTTGGTCTCCACAGACCTGTTTTCTCACCTGCCAAGCACAGCAGCCCTGCCCCGGAGCCAGAGGCATGGAGGAACACACGCTCAGAAGAGCTTCGCAAGCACAGATGCGCCCTCGTCACTCAGCCCGCCCTGCCTCCCGGCAAAGGGGAGAAGCCTCAGCCTCCTCCTCCTGGAGGTGGGGTTCCCGCTGACTCACTGCTGGCTTCAGCCACCACCTTGCTCCTGAATAACAGGTGGGATTACAGCTGTCATTCCGCTGCCTTTCACCTCTGCGCTGGGAGACACCCTGAGGGCTGGGGAGCAGGGGTGTGGCTGCACTGTGCCACTAGGTCGGGCCACACCTCCCCAAGCCGGGTCACAGAGAACACTGCCCTTGGGTCCACGAGGGTCCGAGTGGGTTAATGGGCAGGGATCCAGTTGTTTTAGCTTTTGGAGAGAGAGAGGGACAGAACATGTAGCTGGGAGCCTCTCACAAGTTCAAGGACACCAGCACATGTACAAACACACTCTTCCCCATCTGGCTCTGGCACCCAACAGCACTGATGTCCATCAGCCTTGGTCCAAGCTCTCACCTCCACGAGGCTGCCCCACACCCCCACCATGTGTACTCTGAGACACCCAATCAGTAGGCTCAACTTGGAAAACAAACCTGGATCTAGGAGGGCTTTTGTCTGTCTGCTTGCCAGGAAATCAGCAGGAAGCATGCTGAGTTCCTCTCCACGCCCACTCCTGCCCACAAGTCTGGCGGCCCATGCAGGTCACAGCTAAACTTAGCCTGGCAAAGGGCCAGGGTCACAGGACAGCGGGGGCGGGGGGTGCAGGGAGGCCTCTGTGTGCCCCGGGTGGAGGGCGCAGGTGGTCTGCCAGGAAGTGGTTTGCTCAGACCCTTCCTCTGAGCCTGGCGAGAAGCCCCAGCCCTGGCCCCACATCACCCCCCTTCCTCCAGACAGCACTTCTACAACAAACCAGGAACAGCAGGAACCTGTGCCGACACACAACCTGTTCATCACCACCCCTTCCTCCCACCTTCCGCTCCCCCCGCCCGGGGCTGCCTGACTGTAGCACCCGGGATCCCTTTCTCATCAGCCCAACAGTCCCCCTGGCCAAAGGTCTCAAAATGTGGTCCCCCACTCAGCGGCACCAGTGTCACCTGGGGCCTTGTTAGAAATGCAGATTTTCAGGTGCAATCCCAGATCTGCTGATCAGACGTTCCAGGGATGTGGCCTGGCACCGGCGTTTTCATGGGCACCACAGTTGGTTCTAATGCCCACTCCAGTCTGAGAGCAAACCACCCCCTCCGGAGCGGGGCCAGGCCTCCAGTGGGAGGAGGCAGGGCTCCTGCAGTGCCCAGCAGCCCAGACCCTTGAGCTCACAGGGGTTTGCCCCACACCCAGCGTGTCAGATGCAATTAGTTCTGCTAATTATAGCAGCAAAAGCGGCCTGGGCCCTGGCATCATCTTCGGGAGCTGAAAGGAGCAGCTGATGTGTTTCCTGATGAAATGGAATAAAGGAGGTGGGGTGGTGACCGGGGAGGGCCCCGCTAGCCAGGCCCTGTGGAGTCACTCAGGTCTCTTTCCCACTACTTGTGTTCTGGGCCTCTGAAAAATACCAGGCCAAGTGGGGCCCAAACTGTTGCAATCCCTGCTGCACGCCAGCTCTTGTGTGGCTGGTTTGAAGGCCCACTAATGAGGTATGCAGTCATTTGCAGGGAGGGAAATCAAGCCACAAATTCGAGACAGTCAGCATTTAGAGTGGTACCCACCTAAGCCAGCTTTACAGATGAGGAAACTGAAGGCTAAACAGGAGGTGCCTGACTGGGAGGGTGGGCAGGAGGTGGCCCGGGCAGGCTGGACATTCCCCTGAAGAACCTCACAGGGAGGGTGTCGAAAGGATCTGGCAGACAGCAGGGGAGATGTGAAAGGTGATGTTTTCATTAACTCTGCATGTGTCTGTCACTGGATCTCCAGGACAGCAGTTCGGTGGTTGCACTCACCCTGATTTATGAAGGGGCTGATGGTCAGGGAGGGTCACTGCGTGGCCTCTGAGGTTCTCTGGTCTGCGTGTGTGACTGGGTCCATGCCCTCCCCTGTTCCTCACCTGCCTGCCCCTTGTCCACCCAGGGCTCATGGGAAACTGCGTGAGCCCTGCCACCTCCCCCTGCCCAGCGGTACCTCCCTGGCAGCAGTGCCAGTGGTGACCACTAACATCATCCAGGCTGGCTGTCCCCCAGGCTTCCCAGGCCTGGGAAATCAGGACCTTAAGAAAGCACTGGCTGCAGGCAGAGGCTTGAGGTCAGAGGTTAACTCTAAGGCCTGGAGTCCGAACCCTTGGAGGGCCTCCCCTCTGGCCTTTGTCCTCCCGACTCCAGGCTTCTCTCTAGCAAACCCCTTTCTCCTTGTCTGACTCAGGAGCCAGTCTGCACAGATGGCCGGGTAGGAGCAGCTCTGAAGCTTCCCATCCAACATGACGCTCGCACCCTCTGGACGGGCTCCCCTGTGGGAGGGGAGAAAGGCCTGCACCCCAGCAAGGACCAGACCACAGAGCTACCACGGGGCATCCTGACCGAGGTCTCCCTTCATGTCACCCCAAACAGACAGGTAGGGGGTTGGGGGTGCTGAGTAATACTGGGGGTGGGTTGGCCCAGGCAGCAGGGGGAGAGGTGGGCAAAGAAAGGAAGTGAAAAAGAGGAAGGAAGAAGACCAACGGAAAGCAGTTGAGAAAGTGACCAGAAAGGGTTCAGTTCTGGGTTCTGGGCGGCGCCTCCTCTTCTCGGTGTCTCAGTAGCTGCCCCTTCCCTCCCCACCTCCAGGGTCACCTTCCGTCCCTCCCACTGGACAGGACCCCTCTCTTGGCCTCCAGCCTGCCTCCCTCATGGCCACTGGGGCTCGGGAGCTAAGTAGTGGGGATGGGGCCAATTGGGCCACCCATGGTTTTCCTAAAGGGAGAGCCACACAGGGCATTTACCCAGAATGGCACAATCTTTTCCCGAGTCAGAAATCTGGATTTTATGAAGTCTCCCGATTATCAGTGTTGACGACGACTTCACAAATGCTTTAGGAGCCATGTGAGCCAAATAGAATATGTTGAGTGGGCCACCCAAGCCTGTGGGCCCATCTGCAGCCCCCCTGACCTGCTGCCCCTACCCTGCACCAAGCATTCCTCAAGGTTACCTTGACCGGGGCCTTTGCTCAGCAATGCCATCCGCTGCTATTCCTTCCGCATCCAGGGCCCCCAGCCCCCCAGCCTTAACCTTTCCCCATGAGCCAGTCCCGACTGGCCCAAAGTCTCCCAGTTGGCCCCAAAAGCCTCCCTTGGAATAATCACAACCAGCATTTGTGAGGCTGGCGATGTGCCAGGCCTGTGCTGGGGGCTTACACAAAGGCCTTCTACTGCCTCCGCTGCCTCTTCAGGGACAGAGGAAAAGAGGCGACACTGTAGCCTGACAGGCGTGCACCAAGGGATCCAGGAGCAGGGCCCGCCCCTAACCAAGGTGATTCTCCATACTGGAGTTTGGACCTGGGCTCAGAAGGACCAGGGATCAAGTGTGAGCCCTGGGGAGGATGGGGAAGCAGGACAGAATAAGAGAGGGCAGGGAGGAGAGACCGCCTCCCCCACGCCGGGGTGAGGTAGGCCTGCCGATGTCCATGCGGGGGAGTCTGCACTGCGAGGTGAGCAGCCTTGCCCCTGACGTGAGCTCTGCGGTCACTGCCTGAGAACACGGCCACATGCACAGAGGAAAGCAGTGGCTTCTTGAGACCCACTCTCGGAAGAAGGAGGGGTTTCCAAAGGCCACCAGGATGCCAACCCCACCCTCTGGACGGGTCATGGAGCCGGCCAGCCGGGGCACAGGAAGGACAGTGGCCGGGGCTCCGCCAATGTGGGTGGGAGAGCTTAGTCCTACCCATTCCGGCTCCTCTGTCAGCAGCTCAGGCTCAGCCCTTGGCGAGCAGAGGATACAAGAGGCAGGGAAGCCATCAATCTCCCAGGAAGGACACGGCGTCCTTCAGCAGAGGCCCCAACCCACAGGAGTTGTGGAAATTCACAGCATCGTGGGGCAGACAGACAGACAGACTGACTGAGGCCTGGTGTCCACAGTGGCAGGGTGAGGGAAGAGGCTAAGGGATGACAGAAGGTCTGAGGGTGCCAGTTCTGTGTCCCTCCATGCCACCCCCCGGGGTTCATCCCGGGCCCCAAGAGAGTGCCTTTATTTGGAAGAAGGGTTTTAAGGAATTACGGATGTCATTCACAAGGAAACTGAGATGAGATCATCCCAGGTGGGCCCTAAATCCAAACAGGTGTCCTTCTAGACAGACAGCCAAGGAGGAAACGAGAAGGTGCTGAGAGGGAGGCGGAAGCCGTAGCTTGGAGGCACACTGGGAGGGCGCCGGCCGGCCGAGCTTTCAGACGCTGGCCTTTGGAGCTGAGAGAGAATACAGTCCTGCTGCTTTGAGCCGCATTTTGTGACATTTTGTTAAGGCTGCCCTCAAAGACCACGGCCCCAATGTTCCCCACACCCCGCTTTCCCCACCTGTCTTCCCCACTAACTTCTCTGCCGGTCACCTCCAGAGCCCCAGGTATCTCTGTGGCAGCCTTTCCTCTGTGCACCAGCTGGGGATCCCTGTCCAGATGGGCCTAGATCTCTAGGATCAGCTCCTCTGAGCGCTCCCTAATTCCCAGCCAACTCTGGCCCCCCTGTTACAGCCCCGGCCGGCTCCCTTCCCACTTCTGTGGGCTTCTGTCTCCAAGAGATACAGGTCTGGCTTTCCATCTGAGCCTGGTCCCAACTAGCTTTGGGGGGGTCCCTTGGCCTCCTTCCTGACTGCCCCAGTCATTTCAGATCACCTGCCGTCCCTTGAACACCTCCACACTGTCCACCAGCCCCTGCACCGTGTCCACACCTCACACCTCTGCAGCCCAAACCTTACGCAGTGGTGCGCACACCCTCACACCTCAGAAACTCAAGGGTCTTCCTGACCCCTCCCCCACTGGTCAACTTCTGACAAACCTTTCCTAAAGGGATAGACCTGGGAGGGCAGACGGGCAGTTATGAAGGGCCTCTGGCTGGCGCCCACAGCAGGCCCCAAGGAAGGCTCACTCTCCTGAGAACCTCTAGCCCATTTCTCAGGCAGGAGCCCAAGGTGCATGTTGAGCAATTTCTCAAGGTCTCATATTTAAATAGGAAGAGAATAGAGAAGCCTGAAGTCCTGCTGGGGCCCAGCTCCAGGCCTGCTCTCTCCCTGGGGGTCCTATCCTGTTCTTTCACCCTTGGGCTTCCCGACCCCCTCGGCCCACATTCCCCAAGGCGCCTGGCAGGGACCAAGTGCTGTGCTGCTTGCCTGCTAAGGAGACCACGCTATCCAGGGGAGTCCTTGACCCCAGACACTGGCCTCCATTCTTAGGAAGGATGCACTTCCTGCAGCCAGTGTGCTCCCAGGGGCCTCCCCCATTCCTGGATTCCTGCCTCAGATTTCTAGACCTGAAATCACAGGCGCAAACTCCCGCTAACCATCCCCCCCACAATGAGGCAGCCTCTTCTGTGGTCAGAGGAGGGCTGTCTAGAGTATTTCCCAGAACTCCCCCTTGCCAGCACCCTGTCTCAGCCATCCCCCTCAGGCAAGATGCCAGGGCTCCCCAAACTTGAGCCCCTTTTTTCTCTCCAACCAGTTTCTCTCCACTCTCCCCCTGGGGCAGGGAGGGAGGCTGCAGCCGGGGAAGCAGGCTCCAGACAATAGCGAAAGCTCTGGCTAGAGGAACCGGAGAGTAAACACAAAGGACAGCTGAAGGGGAACAAAGCCCCTCCCCTAGGGCGCCCCTCTCTGGAGCAGGGGATGGACGGAATTAAATAAACCAGGGCACCCGGCAGCCACTTCCTTGTGATCCCTGGGTGGAAACAAAAGAGAGACCAGCTAAGAAACCTGGCCCCCTGGGCCGCGGGAGACCCCTGGGGCTTTTCCCTGGACACAAAAAGGTCAGTTTCTCCCCGACACCCCCATCTCCACCCCAGCTGCTTACTCACGTCCTGAGTTAGAGGGATGCTGGTCCCCACGCAGTGAAATCCCAGGCAGTTCTCCCACCCTGGTCCCCTGAGGCTGGGGCGGTACCTGACACAAAGCCTGGGCCCCAGCTGGGCTGCAGAGAGGGGGGAGTCGGGAGGATGGGAAGGGCTCAGGGCCTGCTGCACACACACGCACATACACACCCTCAAGAGCTGTGCCTGCAAGATCTAAAAACCCCTTTCATCTTAATAAAGGGGAACAGTGAGAGACACAAAGGCAAGGAGGAGGCCAACCCAGTTGTAAAAAAGCATTAAGAGCTTGTGCTGGGCCTCTTGGCTGGCAGAGACCAGGCGGAGAAGGGAGCCAAGTCTGCCTGCCTCCCACACCAGCACCGCATCAGAGCAAAGCAGTGCTCCTGCCCGGACTCAGCGGGCCCAGACAGTAGGGCCTGGGACAGTTAGCAAAATTACCCCAGAATCATCTACGGCCGCACAGTCATACTCCATGTAAATTGCACAAAACAGAACAACCACCTGCAACCAGCCACGTCATTTCTCCAGTCACTGGGCTGGAGAGAGGTGGAGTGATACCTGTGCCCTGGCTTCTGCCCAAGGCTGCACCGGGCATGGAGCAGGTGTTCCTGAGCTAGTGACAGGTACGCACAGGTCGAGTTGGGGTGGGCGGCAAGCAGCCACCAACACTGCCATGTTCACAGAACATATTCCTGCCCCCAAGGTCATCCAGAAAGAAACAGTCCACAGCGCTTCACCTCAGACTGCAGAGCAGGGTGGGGCCACACTCTGGAATCGGGCTTGAATCCTCTCTACCACTTGCTGAGACAAGAGTACCTGCTTAAGGTATGGCAGTCAAATGGTGGCCCCCCACAAGGGGCACTGCTCCCCTACACTGGTATTGATAAGGCTGGCTCCTTTTGATTTGCTAAATCTTCCTGGGTGCATCTAAGGGACATTTCTGGGAAGAGGGGGGACAGAAACTCCAGAGGCCTGGAGACATGGCTACGTTGTCTCTTCCAACTATTTTCCTCTCAAGGCTGGGGGCAGGGGTGACATGGGGAGAGTGAGAAGGGCGAGCTGGGGCACTTGTAGCTCCCTCCCCCTGGTCTAGCAGCATCAACACTGACCACTGATGCCCCTCCAGACTTTTGAACATCTAGAAGGAGAGGCCAGTGTTGGTCTCTGAGGTCAGGCACTAAAGGTGCAGGCATGCCACAAATGCTTGCTTGTGGATGGAGGGAGCAAGGGTGGAGGGATGGATGATGGATGGATGGATGGAGTCAGAACTCACTTCTGAAGTGGTAGTAGAGTGGGAGTCCTCACTGAGTTCTAAGTTACTGAGGGTGCAAAACCCCTTCAGACATGGCCCAGGAGACAAACTGCAGGGGGTCAGGTCGGAATGGCCCTCATCTAACAGCAGGCTGACCCACTGCCAGTGTGTAAATTACCAGGAATGAACCCCAAAACATAAGTCTATCTGACCCCCAGCTGCTTCTCCCCTTGACACCCACCTCCTTGCTCCCTAGTCTTGCAGAAGTGGAAGCCAAATGGAGGATGCCAGGGTTTGGTGCAAATTAGGTAAGAGAAGGAGCACAGAAGTGACCCTGCCAGCTTGATGAGCAAATCTCCCTATCTAGAGAAACCCGGGCAAGCCGCCCTGGCAGTGCATGGGGGTTAAGTAAACTGCACCACATTTCTTGAGATTTAAGCATTATGCAAAATGTTTTACGCATCTCATCTTACAATTAACCTCTAGGGAAGCACCCCATCTCACAGCTAAGGAAAGTGAGGCACAGAGAGATCAAGTCACTCACTCAACATCACAGAGCTGGGATTTGAACCCAGGACTGTCTGCCCTTCAGGATAAGGGTCTTCACATGACGCTGTCTGCTCAGTGAGCTGGTGGTACCTGCAAGCATTAGACAAGCACTCAGGGGATTTCCTTCCCTGCGCTGTTCAGGGCACGGCAGCTGACAAATTAGGTAAAGGTGGGCCTGAAGCAGGAAAGAGCTAGGAGGCTCCTTTCACCCAGAGATCCTGTGAGGGTCACCTGGGTTATCTGAGATGACCTTTCAGCCAAAAGGACAGGGAGACGTCTTCAGCAGGGCCTTACTGAGGGGGCCTCTGACAGTGGATGGTACATTTTAGGGCAAGGCACCAGGGAGGAAGTAGCCTGAATGCGGGAGGGAGTATTGGGGGGAATGGGATGGGACTCCAGAGCAGCAGTGGGGCCGTGAGGCCTAAGCATCCCCTGCCCAGTCGCACTGCCCAGTCGCACTGCGATCCTACCTCCTCAGAGACTCCGGAACAAAGTCTCCCCAAACAAAGGACCTTTTCATGAACTCCAGGCGGGTCCCCTGTCTGCTACTAAGAAGGCTATTGAAATAGCTCCCAAGAGAACAGTCTGTTATGAGCACGTGGTTTTGCAGCAACAAGCAGGGCTGGAATCAGGACAAGGCCCTCTCCTTTTGGCTAGATGTGAGTTGGTAGACGTTCCTGCGTCAGCTGCAGGGACGTGACCTTGAGGGAGGACGCAGGAGCGGTGCGTGCAGGGCAGCTTCAGAGCTGAGCCCCTCCGTCTGGGCAGTGAGGGTCCTTGTTATTCCCCGGGAAGCCAGCCATTTGAAAGCTGTGGGCTTTGCATTTTTTTTTTTAGGGGCTTCCACTGGATGATCTCAAAGTACTCCGAACTTTGTCTGGTTTCGGCTGCTACTGTCCCCATCACACACACGGTGAAATTGAGCCCCATCTGCTAATGTCACAGAGTGGCCACGGCAGGAAGGGACCGGAGTTGGTGGCCCGCCTCACCTCTGACACTCAGACTACAGGGTCTGTATGCGACAGTCACTGGACATCCAGCAGTGCCCTGGGGTAGGAGAAAGAGACTGAGGCTCCAGGAGGCACAGATCTGGGTTTGAATCACACCTCTACTGTTTTTTTTTTTATTCTATTTTTAAATATTTATTTATTTATGCATATAAGATCTAGGGTGCAGGCCTGAGGTGTGGGGGTGGTGGTGGTAAGAGAATCGCTAGAGACAGAGTGGGGAGCAGAACAGACAGATCTACTGAAAAACACTGCTGAGGGGAGCAGCGGGTGAGACAGGAGAGGTCTGCTGCGCCATGTGAGTCAGTTCCCTGGCCGGGGAGTGAACTTGTGCTGCAGTAAGTAGCTGGTGATAGGTTTACAGTGCTGAGACTTAACCCCTTGCACCACCAGGGAGACCCCCTCTACTGTTTTTAGCTGGGATTGTGGGCAGGTTGCTTGGCCTCTCTGAGCCTATTTCTTTACCCGTAAAACTAGAATAACATCTACCTCTAAAGGGTAGTGGAATAGAGAGAAACAAATGATGGAAAGCCCTTAGGATGGAGTTTTGCATAGGGTAGGTGCTCAATTATTTTTTTTAAAGTTGTTCTATTTTTATTTACAAAGGAGTGTGACAGTTGATTTGGGGCCCAGATGCTTTGTAAACAGAAGCACAATTTGCAAATTATGTTCTCTGCTAATGACGCTGTAACTTTCATTTGTAATCCTGAAAAAGCTACTTTCATATAAAAATTAGGACAATTACTTTAGCCACTGACATGCTGGATGCCAGAGAGGCATTCAGCTAGGTTAAACCATCTGAAGTTCTGGCAAGTTTTACAAGCCAGAAAATTTAGTCAGACACCTTCAAGCTGTTCTGCAAAGCATTCCTGTTCCGAGCCCTCCATAGCGACAGACCTCACGGGTCCCCAGCTCTTCCCCTGTCCTGTCAGGGCAGGGAGTGCTTCCTTTCCTGCTTCTGCCACCCTTTGAGCTGGCACCTGACAGCCCTGCTTAGAACTGCTGTCTTAAGGACAGGAGGCCTCATCCTCTAAGATGTGGCTGCAGCCACAGGTCCCCAAATCAGGAGCATCAAAATTGCTGAGTGAATTGAGCCTTATAAACAGCACTGTCCTGGGGTCCTCCTTTGGCAGAACACAGCTGACACCAAGGCTGTCTTTTCCAACACCAGTCCCTAAGCCTCCGTTGTATCTCCAGCACCTCCAAATTCCTGCAAGAGCCACTTGGGAAGGAAGAGATTTCATGGTTTAATATAAACCATCAGGGAAATGAGAGGTGAAGTCTGAGAATCTGCCTCTACTTCCAGTTGTACCAACCCCCAGGCAGGGAATTCCAGACATTCCTCCTCTTGTACATTGATCCTGAAGCTCCAGGAGGCAGTGACGCCCCAGCAGAGCAAGCATCACTCAGTCAGGGCTGAAGGCTCCCTCAGTTCCCACAGCAAGGCTGGCATCCTCTGTCTCACTGTGCTTTGGGGCCAGGGAGGAGGGAACACCTTTCTGCCATTGCTCGCGTCTGCTCTCCCTATACCCCTTCACCATCCAGGCTGCAGAAGGGAGGCCAGAGCCATGGAGATTGCCACAATTCCCGTCAGGCCCTTTGCCCTTGTTTAGAGAACCAAACAGGGCTGTAAGGGTGAACAGGGAACTCTTCTAAACTCAGAACCTGAAGCTCCACCGTCACCCGGCTCGTGGCCCAGCCCTTCATGCAGACCCGCCACCTCCCCACTGCCCGTTCTCCCAGAAACACACCTGGGGCTGTCACGCTGGCGGAGCTCCTTCCCTTCAACATGTGGCTTACAGTTGGAGTGGTTCTTGTTCCTCCCTGTCTACCTGAAGGTGGAGGTGTTGCCTTAGGCAACAGTGATGTCACCGATAAGGTGCTTCCATTCTGCTGATGTCACCGGTGGGCCACTGGGAAGGGGGGGGAGTGTGCTTTCTATGGAAGACACCACAGGTCCCAACCCCTAGGGAGAACCCTACAGGCCTTGTGGGCACTCCCAGATGACCCTCCGCCTCTCCCCTCTGGATGTCTGTGGCAGGGAGGCCTCAAGTCTGACTTTCCCTCCCCTAGTCCGAGAAAGGTTGACTTGCTGCTCCGCCCTCAGTCCTGAGCAAACCACCCACAGGACACTGAGGAGCTCCTCCCTCTCACCACATGGGCCAGGCAGAGTCCCTCAACCTTGCCTTTGCCCGGACCTCAGAAGAGGGAGCAGTGGCTCTGACAGGGGAGCCTGGGGCCCCATCTGGCAGAGAATGCAGATCTTTCACCTCTTTTAGAGCTCATACTGGCCGGGTTGCACATCTGACCCAGGTGCTGTGTTCAGAGGTTTCGATGCATACCCTGTGAAAACACTGTCCCCATTTTACCGGTGACAAAACCGAGGCTTTAAATAGTCAAGGCACTTGCCCACATACTGAGAACACCCAGCTACTAAGCAGTAGAGCCAGGATTCAACCCACATCTGCTCTACTCCAAGGTCCACCTGGCCCTTGGCTCTGGGGCACCTGGGGACTGTGGCTTACTGACGATAAGGGGCCTGCGCAGAGACCAGAGTCCTTGAATTCCACAAAGAATGGCTGGGCAGGCCAGGTGGCCTGAGATAGCCAAAGCAAACCTGCTTCACCCCCATGCTCACCCAGGGACTGCAGTACATGGCTCTGCCCCGGCCCTCTCACAAGCTAATTAGGGACAAGCCTTCTTTGTTCTGCACTCGGTTTCCTGTTGACCCAGCCCACCTGACTAACCTCTTGATTTGTATTTGGCATTTACCCCCATGGCCTGGCCCTCCAACCTTGAAATTGTACAACACTTATTTAACTTATGCAAATGTACCTCTATCTAGCTGGGAGCTCATGCTTATAAAACACTAAAATAAAAATAGCAAAATTATAAAAGAAAGGGAGAAAAATCCTGCCCTTGAGGGACTGGCCCCCCTAGGGGGCCAGTGCACACAGCGGTCTGAGCAGAGTACTGGTCTATTGGGCAGGTATCACGGCAACAGAACCCCATGCTTCTGGGCTGTCACTATCCCCTCAGCTGCCTGTCCTGCTCTGATTCCAGCTTCCAAACACAAACTGCCTTGAAATATACTTTTCCATGCGGCTTGCTCAGGATGCAGGGAACGGATATCATCCAGACAATGTGATGGTCACAAAGTCTCCTGGCAAATTAATAAATTAGCATTCTGATTTGTACACCCACATCTGGAAGGTTTCTCAAGGTGACTCAGTAGCCTAGATCTAAACCATTCTGAAAATCGTGGAGATGGGGTTTCTGAGTGGACATGGCTAGTACCAGACACTGGGACAGGTGACCCGATCCCCAGACACCTCCCTTATGGGCGACACCAGCCGTCCCAGGAGACATCGTGACTTCCTCACTGGCTGAGAAGTCTATTTTGCTTAAAACACCATCAGAGACAGTATGTTGTAAATGCTCTGTTCCAGCTAATTAGGTGCTGAAGAGTCTAGTGTGGAAAATAAGTGATCATCTATAAGCTGGGGCTGAGAAGCCCTTTTGGGAAAGGAGCTTGGGAAGGGGATACTTGCAGGGGGGCAGGACCTGGAAAGGCCTGGGGGACTGGCTGAGAAGTGTCAGGAAGGTGGGTTTGAATGCTCCCCACTTGTTTTATCCCTGGGTTAGAGCGCTAGTAGCTGGGGCCTTTTCCCTCTGCAACACGCCCAGGTGGCACTTACTCATCACTCCCTTGCCAGGCCCCAAACTGGATTTGCCACCTCCTGCCACCCAGTGATTAAGAAGGAAAATCGTTCCGTGCTTGGGCCGGCCCCATCGCCATCAGCCATCAGGATGGCCTGGCCACTTTCTTTCCTTGCCTTTCTGCTGCCAAATGACTTTTCCATCTTTACTCTGAGCAGAGAGCGAGTATTTCTACCCCGACAAAGAAAGAAAAAGGCAACTGCTCTTTCCTCTTTCCCATGAGGACCCCCAACTAAACGAGCTTTGGATGCTTGACCTGCTTCTTGCTCTGTGAATCTCAGTGATTGGGACTCCAGGTTCCTGAACACTGAACTTCCCTGAGTCTTAGTTTCTGCAGCCATGATATGGGGATGACAGGCTATTATGAAAAGAAAAATGTGACAAGTGTTAAGCCCTCGATAATTGTTGGTTATCAGGGCTGCTGTGGACAGGTGGTGCACTGCTCAAGGACACCTGGCAGGGGGGACAGCTTCAGTGCCACTTGCCCAACTATGTGCCTTGGCTATGTCCACCCAGATAAGGCTCCTTTTTGGAAATGATACCAAGGAGTTCCCCCAAAAGGAGGAATTTATTTTAATTTACACCAGGGGTGGAATGGGCTTGCAGTAGCCCTGAAGGTTCTTATTGTCCATTCTTGCTATTCTTGTGACTATGTCCCCTTGGCCAGCAAGACTGCATTAGTCCAGCGTGGTCTCAGCTCCCCAGCATGCTTGGAGGGCCTGCTCCCTTAGGACACTTCCCACCCCCAAGCCCCTGCAGGCTGCCCTACTACCTCAACTAGTGAGGGGAACTCTCAGCTCCAATATCGAGCCAGTCTCAGACTCTGAAGGGAATGTCTTTGGAATGCTGATGCCACTTTCTCTGCTGACAGTCCTGGGCAGCACATTACCTACTGAGCAGCTCCAGTTGCTGCAAAGTTTCTTCTTCTGCATAATTAAGATCCCTCTTCTGCTTCTCTGAGCCTCTGAGGCCAGACAGAGCAAGTCCCCTTTCCTAAAGTGACAATGCCAAGGTTTCCAAAGGCCACAGTCCAGTCTACCTCAGCTTCTCACCCCTCAGTCTACTCTAGGCTCATTCCCTTTGCCCCAAGAGATGCACTTCCCAGACTCCCCCTTCCTTTTCATCCCCTCACCTCTGGACACCTCCCTGGTAACCCCCCCCCCCCTCCAAGAATTGGCTTGTGTATTCCAGATGCCCTACCCTACTCCAGCTCCCACCCACCCACATAGACCCATGTCTATCAGACAGAATCCTTCACCTTCTTTCTCTTTATTGACCCCAAGGGATCCAAGAATGGAAAAATACAAAACCAGGATTCTTGCAGATATCTTCTCGGGTGGGCAATTCTGCCAGAAGCCTCTACCCAGAAGTTCCTCGATGAGGGGCTAAAAGTTCACCCACCACCCTTGGCTTCCCTCATGTATGCTGCAGGGACCACCGGCAGCTGTTCCTGGTAAGGCAAAATGTCTGGGATGATGGCACCAGGTTAAAAGTTCAAATCCTTGGCCCCTGAAAGCCAGAGTTTTGAAACTGCACCATATTTGAAAATGACCAAGTAAAAGGATGGCACTTGCATAAAAAAACAGACTTTCCATCCACTGGGGGAGGAGCAGAGTCAATGTAAGCATTTCATGGTTACCCACAAGTGGAAAATATGAAGGCCGCATGGCCTGGAGCAGCAGAACCACACAGGGAATTAGCAAACAATGAAAGCACTTAGGTGGAGAGCAGCATCCAAAGCTTGGAGGCCTATTATGTCATTAGTAAGGAGGTGAGTGGCAGCGATTGTACTTGGGTCTGCCAGGCCATTTTCACTGCTCACCTGGGCTGTGCCCACACCGGGGACAGAATGGCTTTATCTGGCAGCTTCTCCAGAGGTAGAACTGGTTTGTAAAAAAGGAAGGGCCTTGGGTGAAATCCAAAAAAGGAAGAAAATAGAATAAGACTCCGAAGTTGATTTAGATCCAAAATGCCATGGGGTCCAGAGGTCTTGTGTTTTGAAGGGAGTTGGGGGGGTGGGGAGCAGGGGTCGGCGGGGGGGGGGGGGGTCTCCTTACACCAGGCAAGAGACAAAAGGCAAAAGGGTGGTCCCTGAGTGGATCCCTAAAATGTTTTCCCTTCCTGGTCGGCAGCATTTTTGTTTTTAAAGAGAAGGCGCACTTTGGAAGGAAGCCAGGCCCTGGGGGCTCTTGAGCCCCTCCAAGTGGCCCTCCGAGGTGGAGACGCCGGAAAGGAGTTGAGGATGCGGTGAGGGGTCAGGTGGTTGGGCCGCAGCAGCCCCCAGAGAAAGCTCCGCTCAGCATGGCGTCTCTCCTCGACGAGGGCTGAAAGAGGAAGCTCTCAGGGGGTTTCTCCCAGCTTAGCCGCCTCAAACCCACCCAAAGCGCGCGCCACCCGCCTCCCTGCTCCCAGGCGTGGACGGACCGCGGGAAGGGAGCCGGGCGCCCGGCCCCGCTCTGCCCGGCGCTCCGCGCACCACCAAAAGTAACGGGTCGGCCGGAGCAACGCGGTGCGTCTCGGGGCGCCGAGGCTCCGGGCCGGGCGCTGCGCTGGAGGCGCAGCTGCCGCCGTCGGGGCTGCTGGACGCGCCCACGGTCCCCGCGGCGGGGCGGGGAGCCCCAGCGCAGGACCCGCTCCGCGCGCGCGGGGAGCCGCGGCCAACGCCGTGGACACTGCGCCCCCCTTGGCACGCGCGCTGTGGCCGGGCGCCCACAGTTGGCGGGTCCTGGGGGGACCCGCGCCCCAGCCGCCATCTCAGGCGCAGCCCCGTCGGGTCCCCTCTCCAGCGCGCCTTCTTCCTTCCAACACGCGAGGCGCGGGCAGGACCAGAGCCTCGCGGCTGCCTGCGCGCAACTCACCTCGGCTCGGCGCGCGCTCCGGGCGCTCCGGGCTGCGCGCGCGGGTCCCCAGGGCCGGGGTGCGCAGCTGGGGGGTGGCGGCCGAGCGTCCGGAGGGGCAGCTAGAGGGACAGGGGCAGCGATGCGCGGACGGGCCCCCGCCTCCGGGCCTCCATCCGCGGGGCGCGCAGCGCGCAGGAGTTACTCATTTCCTGGATGTCACCGAAACTTTTTCCTCCTTATAAGACCAAAACACCCGCCTCCACGCCCGGCCGCGGAAGCGCCTTAAGGAGGACCACGCGGGCTCGCAGCGGCCCTGGCCCTGCAAGAGCTGCCCCTGCACCCGCCCTAGCACCCCGGAGGGGACGCAGGCCCGGGGGGAGATGCGGGGAGAGCGCATCTGGCCACTGGAGGAAACTGGCGCGAACAGACAGGCGGTGCGGGAGGACGCCCTTAAAGCCGGTCCAGCCCCGCGGAATGGAAGGGGTTAAATCGCTGCGCCTCCACCCCGCGGGTTCCACGGCGCCTTTTCCAAGCGGTGGAATTCCAGGGGCCACCGATTTTGTCCTCTTTACTACAGGGCGAGACGCCACGGCCAGCCCTTTTCTCTTTCCAGGCTTCAATGGAGTCAAACAACTCACCAAATTTTGTGATAAAAGAATGCATCGTCGCCTTCCCCCCTGAGCAACCAGCACAAAGGAGAAAGACAGCTACAGGCTTTATCTGCAGAGGGCGCGAGTGTTTGCAAAGTCTGTTTATAGTTGCTAACTTCTTAGGCTGCGGGAGCCGAGGCCAGGGAGCGCCCTGGTCCTAGGTCTGGGACTGGGTGATGAAATCCATAACCTGTTACCTTCACTCTGGGACCTGCCCACATTCCACAGGCGCGAGGGGCTGCCATAAATCCGACATTAAGTTGCTTAATGTCGAATGCTAGTGAGGGCACCTTGGGGAAACTTTGAAAACTCACTGTCCAAACAACGATCACTATTGCTGTTGCAGTTTGGTCTTAGATTACCTTCTGCCTTTCCTGCCCAAGCCGGCCAAATAGCTCTAACGCTTGCCTGGAAGACTTTAGGCTGCCTTTGAAAGATAAACAGGCAAAGAGAATTAGTTCTATAAATAGACCCCTCTGGCCCTCTGCCCAGGGTACTTTTATTTTCAAGCTCCTCCTGCTGCTCCTGGCTCTCTCCTTACATTAGGGACAGTTATGGCAGAGTTTTGGGGTCTGGTTGGGGGAGTGGTGGGCAGTGGGTGATCTGGGGAAAGAGCTATGTATTTATAAAATGTCTGCAGGTGGGATGGGTGAGTTACTCCCCTTCTACCCCCTGATCCCCCAGCAGGTGGGGGATATTCCTGGGAGGTGGTCCCATCAGACCCAGCACCATTATACTTATCAGTGCTTAGGAGGAGATCAAGGTTGTAGGTGATGGAATACCAAGGTTAGTGCTTGCGTGCCCTCTGGGTCTGTCATCCTGTGTGCAAAGTTGTTTCTGCAATTTCTAACTAGCTGTGTATATTTATTTATATAAGAAACATTTATTGTATTTGTTTTTTTTTTTCTTTTAAACCTGATGATTTCACCCCTGTGACCTGACAGTCATCCTCCCTGGCTCCCCACTGCTCTCAGCACAAGTCCTAACCTGGCACATGGGCCTGTGGTGAACTGGCCTCCACTTATCTCACCAACTGCCTATCTCTCTCCATGTTCCACACCAACCCCCTTGCAGTTCTTGGAACTTGGGCTTCTTAGAATGTGTTACGTGGTTTGTTTTTCCCCTTTGGATATTCACATGTCCTCTGTCTTCTACCTTTAACTTTCACCCCTTCTCTCCCTCCAACTTGTCACCCCCAATGCACACCTTTTTTTTTTTTTTTTTTTGCCTGGCAAAAACAAAAATCCTGTGTGCTCAGGATTTCTCTTTCAGGAAGACTTCCTTGAACCCCTACCTCCGCGTAGTTGCCATAGCATCTTGTGATCACCCTCAAAAGGGGTTTTAAAAGACAGGGAAATTATAGAACATTCAACTTCTGGGAACATGAGGGGTCAAGATGTCAGGGTACCTCTGCTTCAAACACAGGAAATGCTGAAGAAATATATCAACAACTGAAAGAAAGGGGGATCTCTCAGTGTGAGACAAGAAGAGGAACTCAGAGCACATAGGGCTAATAGATGTGATGATAAGCCCAAACGGCTAAGGGCTGGGGTGAGTACTCCCAGAGATCTGGACTTGAGACCTCTGCCTGAAGTGGCGACCCTGGAAGGGCTCTTCAAGACTAGAGGACAGAGGAAAAATATCCTTCCACTGGTTCAGGGCCACAACCAAAAGCTTTGGTTTGTCTCGGGCTCTATTTGAATTAAACAGAGTTTGCTATATAAATCACTCCCCCTCACCTGCCTATGCCACGCATAGTTGTGAGAGCCCAGTTTACACTTCCCTTGTGGCAAGGGAGCCCTGGAGTCCAGAAGGAATATAACAGCTGGATCCAAAGTGACGAATCCCCCTGGTCCAGTCAGAAGCAATTGCAAACCCAGTTGCTTATCCTGACCTTTCACAGAATAAACAGTTCTCATTGAAGAAGATCTTATAAGAAACTGTAAGCCAAATTAGGAAATGAACCACTTGAGGGATTGGGTTGGGAGATGAACTGGACAGGTAAGTTAATGCCTTAAGAATTTGAGAATATTACTCAGCATTCAAAAAAGATAAACACATGCAATTTGCAGCAACATGGATGGCGCTGGAAGGGATCATGCTCAGCGAAATAAGCCAGAAAGAAAAAGAAAAATACCGGATGGTCTCACTCATAGCAGGAATCTAGAAAACTTAAATAAGGGACCAGGAAAAAGAATAACTATAAGAAAGTGAAAATCAAAATCAACAAACAACTATGAACCAGAGACACTCTATGGGGGGTGGGGGGCGGGGAGGGGAGGGATTGGGGTCAAAATAAGGGGGTCGCAATTGTATGGGGAATATAAAAATAAAAAAAATTTATATTTATATAAAAAAAAGAATTTGAGACAGGGGCCTCCCCGGTTGCCTAGGGGTTAAGTCTCAGCACTATCACCCCTGAGGCCTGAGTTCTGAGTTCTACCCCATGCTGGGCCAGGGAGATGACCCACATGTTGCAGCAGACCTCTCCTGTCTCGGCCCCACTGTTCCCCTCAGCAGTGTATTTCAGTAGATCCACCTGTTCTGCTCCCCAATCTGTTTCTGGTGAGTCCTCTCACCACTCACCCTGCACCTCTGGCCTACACCCCAGTTCTTCTATGCATAAATAAATACATCCTAAAAAAACACTTGAGATAATAGAACAATTTGAAAAAGACTATAAAATGGTTATGTGCAAAATAATTACAGACACAAAATAACAGAACATAAGACTATGAAAAAATAAACAAATTTGGAAAAGTGCAAATGTAACATGTAGAAATAAGTTTAACATTTACATATAAAATCCTCAATGATTAGAATTCTTTTTTTGAATATATTGATCAAAATATAATTAAAGTTCATTTTCAAAGAGGAAAATAAAGAAAAGTAGCACACTAAACTCACTTATGAATACTTTTTTAGAAATGTGAAATAAAATATTTACACAGAATCTCAACAGCAAATGAAGAGGATTATATCACAAAAAGACCAAAAAAGCAAAATTCAAAGATTATCAACCTAAATACTGAAATAGCCATTAGGCAAGATTCAGCATTCAAATGTAAACACTTCTGTAGCATGATAAAAATGAAGGGGGAGGGCCTCCCTGGTGACGCAGGCGGTTGAGCGCAGCACTGTGAAGCTGTCCGCAGCCTCTACAGTGTGGGTTTAGTCCCCGCTGGCAGGCGAGAATCCCACATGGTGAAGCAGACCTCTCCTGTCTCGCCCGCTGCTCCCCTCAGCAGTGTATTTCATCAGTCTGCCTGTTCTGTTTCCCAGTCTGTCTCTGGTGAATCCTCTCACCCTCCCACGCATCTGGCCTGTACCCCGGTTCTTGTATAAATGAAATAAATCTTTAAAGAAAAATGAAGGGTGAGGTTCAGCCCCAAAGCTGAATATTGGGGATACCAGAAACCTTCACATTAAACTCTGTGTGAGATGATGTCCTCTTTCATATTTCTCTGTTTAAAAACTTATCCATTAGGAATGTGCTTAGTTGCAAGTGAAAGAAAACCTGACTCTGATTTTAATGTGTCTTCAAACAAGCCATATATGCTTGACTGCTTTGATTCAATGTTTTGATAGTTCGGGGGCTGCTCAAATGTTATGTTTGGCTGTTTTGATATATATTGCAAAATTGTCCTCCAAAAAGATGTTTCACCATTGTAGGTACCAGTAGAGTTTAGAATGCCTGTTCCCCCGTGTCTTTTCAGCACTGGCTTCTTTCCTACGTGAAAAAGAGAACTCAAGGCCTTGATGAACATTTCTTCAATTATGGTGAGTTGGAATGGAACATTGTCACTGGCGTTTTTATTTCTTTCTGTGTGAAAAGTCAGTTGTAACATCATTTATTTTTCTCTTGGCTTTTTTTCCCTCTGTGTGTATATGCATATGTGTAAGTAATTGGGATCTTTTTCATGATCTTAGTTACTGGCTCTGGGGTCAAATTCCATGGTGAAAGCAGAATGCTGAGCAACACTGGACCGACCACAAGGCAGCCTCTCGTGTCAGGAACACTGGAAATTAAAAACAAATATGGGGCCAGATTTCCTGTTCACCCCCAGCAGTGGTTATCCCAGTATATGGAATAAAATGCATGACAATGGGAGAGACAGGAAGTCAATGCTAGTCATAAAGTTTCTGACGGATGGAAAAAAAGAGCATTTTCCTTCATTTGGCCAATCTCTCAACATCCTGAAGTCACCTTCGCATGCAATTTCAAGAGATAACAATGAGTGGGCTTATAGGGTGTTTCACTGCAATGGGCTGTTTTTGCTGAGATTCCAAAAGTGTCAGTTGACCTGGATGGATGATTTGCTTTTGGCTATTGCTTTCCTAGAAACCCACTCATGTAGGCATGTTGGAGCTGCAGGGCCTTTAGAGATTGTTTACCATTAAAAATGAAGTCCAGAGAAGCCAGCTAGGTCACAGGATCTAGGCCACAGTCTTGGTTAATGACAAGAGAACAATGCAATGTTGTAGGTATCACTGTAAGCACTTTACATATAACTGCTCATTAAATTCTCATAATAAGACTGTCCAGGAGGTATCATGAGCATACCCATTTAGCAGATGAAGAAATTGAGACCCACGCTACATGCAAAAGAATGAAGCTTGACTACTACCTCACACCATACACAAAAACCAACTCAAAATGGATTAAAGAACTAGACATAAAACCTGAAACCATAAAATACATAGAAGGAAATATAGGTGAAACACTACGGGATTTGCACATCAAAGACATCTTTACAGACACATCACCCAAAGCAGTGATAGTGAAGGCAAAGATAAACAGCTGGGACTACATCAAATTAAAGAGCTTCTGCACAGCAAAAGAGACAATAACAAAAACAAAGAGAAACCCCACCTACTGGGAGAACATTTTTGCACCCAACACTAATGATAAAGGACTGATCACAAAAATCTGCAAAGAGTTGATGAGACTCAACAACAACAAAGAAAATAATCCAGTCAAAAAATGGGCAGAAGAGCTAAAAAGAAACTTCTCTGAAGAGGAAATGCAAATGGCCAACAGGCATATGAAAAAATGTTCAACATCACTTATCATCAGGGAAATGCAAATCAAAACTACCATGAGATACCATCTTACACCAGTGAGAATGGCACATATTAAAAAAACTAGCAACAACAAATGTTGGCGAGGGTGTGGAGAAAAAGGAACTCTCCTGCACTGTTGGTGGGAGTGCAAACTGGTCCAACCACTATGGAGAGCTGTGTGGAGATTTCTGGACCTACTAAACATAGAGCTTCCATAGGATCCAGCAATTCCACTCCTAGGTATTTACCCAAAGGACACAGAAACATCAATTCCAAAGAACACCTGCACCCCTATGTTTATAGCAGCACTGTTTACAATAGCTAAGCTTTGGAAACAGCCCAAATGCCCAAAAATAGATGACTGGATCAAGAAGATGTGGTCCATATACACCATGGAATATTACTCAGCATTCAAAAAAGATAAACACATGCAATTTGCAGCAACATGGATGGCGCTGGAAGGGATCATGCTCAGCGAAATAAGCCAGAAAGAAAAAGAAAAATACCGGATGGTCTCACTCATAGCAGGAATCTAGAGAACTTAAATAAGGGACCAGGAAAGTGAATAACTATAAGAAAGTGAAAATCAAAATCAACAAACAACTATGAACCAGAGACACTTTTGGGGGGGTGGGTGGCGGGAGGGGAGGGATTGGGGTCAAAATGGGGGGGTCGCAATTGTATGGGGAATATAAAAATAAAATTTATTATTAAAAAAAAAAAAAAGAAATTGAGACCCAGAGAGAATAAGTAACTTGCCCAAGGTTATTTAGCTAATAAGTGTCAGAGACAAGATTTGAAGCAGGAACTTTGGCTCCAGACACTCACCCTTAACTTCTGCCCCTCCTTTTTATTTTAACTCAAAGTGATTGCCTTTCAAATGTACCACCTTACTGCATTTACTCAAGAATAAGATTATAATATTTAGATTATTTTTCAAACATTTTTGAAAATGTATTTTATTTCAGAACCCAGTATACTCACACAGATAAGTATAATTGAGTTCCCTCAAAAACAATCCTTACTCTTACTACTTGTGCTATGCCATAGTCTGTTTCCTCTCCTTTTTTTTTCTTTTCATCACTTACCTTTTTCAAACAAACAAACAAACAAAAAAACAGACCACAACTTATTAATGAGTCATGATTTACAGTTTGGGAAGAGAAAATCTTCTTTAAACCACCTCTTTAAATCTTCTTAAACCACAGCGTTTACAACGTCTCTGTTATGAACGCTGTTAATGGCTTATATATGTTAAATTTCCATCCACATACATTACTTGGGGAGGGAAAAACTGTCAGATGTAAAGCTGGTACACTGAGACTTTAAGACAAATGACCTTGCTCTAACCTCAGGGAAACCTTCATTCACTTACTCATAATTCATCTACCCATCACTCATTTAAAACTCTTGGAGCACCCACTCTGTTGTGCAAAATCAGAACTTGGCAAACGATGGCCCACAGGCCAACTCCAGAACACCACCTGTTTCTGTAAATGAAATTTTGCTGGCTCACAATCATGCCCATTCATTTATGGCTTGTCTGTGGCTGTTTTGTGTTACAAAGACAGTTGAGTAGCTGATACAGAGAATGTGTGGCCTATGAAACCCAAATTATTTCTTAATCTGCTCCCTGAAGAAAAGGTTTTCAGACTCTGGTGCTAGATCCTAAAATTGTAACAGTTACATTAGACTGGTCTCTACTGTCCTGGAAGTTTAAATTGTCTGCTTAGCTTAAATTGGTTTTCAAGCTTCTTGAGGGAGGGGCTCAAGGCGATTTGCCCCGCTCCACTGCCTCAGAGAACACCTGTTCACTGTGGATACTCAGCTGGTGTTCTCTGCTGCTGAAATTATTCAGTAGCTCTGGCAACAGATATTGGAAAGAAAGCAACCTACCTACAGAGTAGAAGAGAGAGTTTATTCCTTTATAATACTTTCGTTTTAGAGATACCTGTCTTTGCTGTTATGAGAAGTGAATTATCAACTTCCATTGAATTCCTACTGTGCATCCAACCCTGTGGATAAAAAAAACAAACCCAAAACTTGGTTCCTTGGCACTTGTATCAAGGATAGGAAGAGAAACAACATGAATGCATTTATCATCATCCTTAATCTTCTGTTTGGGGACCTGGTGTGTACTTGGAGATGATTTCCTTTAACTACCTTAGAATCTTAAATGTTTGTGTTCCAGTAACTTTTTTAGCTTCTCGCAGTCACTGATCACTCCCAGGAGTAATGGCTGAGTGCCTGAGCGCATAAACTAATTGTATTTCTCATTCTCTCCCTCCACCCTCCCTCCAGCAAACTTTGTATTTTGAGTGTCTTTTATGGATCAGTACCATAGATATTTTTTTTAAATTTTTTTTAAGATTTATTTATTTATTTATTTATTTAATTTATTTATTTATACATGCACTGGGTACAGTCAGAAGCGCGGGAGGGTGAGAGAATCTCTGCGGGCAGCTTCGCAACCCAGCGCTCAACCGCTGCGCCACCGGGGAGGCCCTACCATAGATATATTAAAGAAAAGACTGGCCCTTCTAGTCTGGTGGGGGAAATATAGAAATAAACAAATGATTACATGCGGTTTAATGACAGAGGGACAATCAAATTTCCTAGCAATCCAGAAGAGAAGTGCCTAATTGGGGAAGACTTCCTGGAGGTGGTGACACTGAACTGTGTCTGGAAAAAGAATAAAGCAGAAGGCACAGGATATTTTAGACAAGGGATTAGTTTACATAAAGCCTAGAGGTGTTTGAAAACATGGTGTTTTAAAGGAATAGCAAAAATTAGATACCTACCATGGAAGGGATTTCTGCTTTGATTTTTTTTATGTTTTAATTTATTCTCGTATTACTATTCACCCATTTACTTGTTCAATGTATTTGTAGGTTATGTGGAGCCAGCCAGTGTTTTTAACCAATTTGGTTGGGTGGTTGGTTTGTGGAAGTCTTTAATCGCTCCAGGGATGTCATCAAACCACAACCTTGGCCTGTTGGACAAGAAGGAATGGAGTGGGCTAGCTGACCATACCCAAAAGTAATCTGACTGAGAGAAGTGCAGTTGCTGTGAAACCAATAAAACCCATGGCAGGGAAACGGCTGGGCTGCAGTGCCATTGTCATCTCCTCCTAGTAAAAATGATGGCCTGCAGTGGCCGGTCCCCTGCTGCATCCACCTCATCCGGGCCTTCCAATCTTCCTAATAAATCTGCCCGAGCCTCTCTGCCTCCTCTGGTATCAAGAGCGGAGTTTTTATGGAGATCCTTTGGGAACCAATGTCAAATGCTCAATAAATGTTCTGTTAAGTCTGCAGCAGGCTGGGAAAAGAGCAGATTAAAGAACTAAAATATGGCCTGATCAGTTTGGGAGAGCACCAGGCAGCTGGGACTCTGCTCTGTCACCTAAGGTGAGCATGGGGTCTCCTGATAAATGGTAACAATTTTCTGCAACACGTGGGTTTTTAATCTTCCCAATAGCCTGGAGGAGAAATGTTAGCTACGATGACAAGAATAGTTCTTACCACATTGTTTGCAGCCCCAAATGTACCTTTTAGATTTCCTGGATACAAAATTAGGCGATAACATAAGATGACCTATAGAACAGGGCCTGTGTTGGCTAGGGCTTTTTTTTTTGGCTATTTGTTTTGGGGGGAGAGATAGAGAGAGGGATAAGCAATAGAAACTCACTTCACCTACTTTAAATAAATAAAA